TTCAACAATCAAATAAATTGCTTTCCATTTGTTTCAAGTTAATTTCATTTGTTCATCTATTTATTTTTAAGCCATTACTTTCGCATTTTACTTTGAACCTTTTTTTGCCAAAGTAACTGGCAACGAACAAAAAAAGGCACAAAACACTAACACGACTAAACTGAAAGCTTAATGTTATTGATTCACTTTACTGTAGCCATTAAAACGTTATCAATTGTTATTATTATTCCATGGCTATTATTTTTCCACCCAAAATTCTGAGCCATTCAATCCCATTATTATTAATAACATTACTTTTTTACTTCTTACTCTTAATTGTCATTTTACCGAAGCAATGCTCTGCAAGAAATTAAAGTAAAATGGAAAGTGAAAACATGTAAACTAATTTACTTTGCTTTACTCAATTTCAGTGATTAACATGCAAATGGATTGATTATTTTACCATGAATGGTTCAATTGACGAATCGAGGTTACAAAGAATTTGTTTTCCTTCCAATTTCAAGATTGTCATTTTCTATTAGCTTGCATCAAACTAATGGATTCAAAGGGTGAAATGAGGTTGAAATGATCAGTCGAGTTGAACATTAAGAAATGTAATTTTTCCTTCTTATCCTTTCACTCTTTTTCCCTTCATAATCATTACCTTTTATTCATGAGTTTTTGTATTGAAAGCAAAATATGTAAAAAGCTAAAGGAAAAGCAATGAAAAGTAAAGCTTTTCTGAAACATTTGAAAGATCTGTGAGATCCATTGGAACTGAATGGACTGAGAAATGGTGAAGATTGTGATGAACAAGAACAAGAAAAATGATGGAAAATGTGTGAATATTTTTCTCTCCATTTTTTTCATTTCTTTATTGTTTTTGTCAAAAGTTGAATTTCATTTCTTGTCTTTTTTTCAAGATGCATTTGCAACTTGAAAGGGAATAAAAACTTTTTGCAAAAAGTAACTTTTCTCTTGTTTGCTGCCTTTTCCCTGTAAATTTAACCAACATTTTCTGTCCTTTTCATTTTATTCTTCTGAAACATTACATTCTATTTTGAACAGTTCTTAATCTTTTACCTTTACTTTTTTTCTCACCAACTTTCCTGGTTCATTTCAATTGTTCATGAAGAGAACGAAGAAAAAAAAAATCATTCTCTTTTTACCCTGAAAATTTCCAGAGAGCAACAAAAAAGCGAATCAGCAAAGTATCTAAATGAGAAAATTTCATGAAAAACATTTTTCTCTCAACTCTTTACATGATTCTCATTTTCTCATCAACATTGTTTCACTCAATTTTTCTTTTCATGTTAACAAAATTATCAACATGATGCCATTACTTTGCAAGAGAAGAAATGAAAATTTTCTCATTTCTATTCCATAAATAACAACAATAATGGAAAGGGAATGTTTTTTTCCTGTTTTGTTCATTTTTTGGTTCCAAATTTCATCGAAAAGAGCAAACTTGAACTTTCCCATTTTGCTCATTTTTCACCGAAATTTTTGTTCTTTTTGCAGAAAAAAATGTGATTTTTGCAATAACGATTGATAATGAAAGAAAGAAAATCTTCTCTTGAAATTATTCCGTTTCATCATTAGTTTCAATTCATCTCTACTCTTTTCAATAACTTCAAGTTGAAGCAACAAAAAAATCAATCTTTTTACTTTTACATTTTTTTCGTCGACTTTTTGTAGTTCATTTCAATGCAACTTTTCATTGCTTTGTAAAGTTGTTCAACTTTTTTCCTCATTTTTCAACTCTTCAACATTCTCGTTTAATCAATCCAATTCAATTACATATTCAGATTTTTTTGTCTCCTTTTTGCATCACTAGACTATTGGACAAGCTTGAGTTGCTCTTTTTTTTGTCTACAAATGCTCTTCGTTTTCATCAACACAAATCAGCTCTTTCATCCTGCCTCAGTATTGATCGTGCTTCAACTTTTGTTGTTGCTTCTCTTCACTTCTCTTTTTTTTGGTGTTTGCATTCTGAAGGCAAAAATATTATCAACATTCTTACAGCCAATTTTGGCTTACAGTTTCATATTACAGGGAGAAAAAAATTGAGTAGAAGGTAAAAGTTGTCAGAACAAGTTTTGTCGACATTTTTGTTGCTTCTTTTCTCGATGAACTTGACTAAATTTGAAGTAATCATTTTGGCCAAAGTAAAACTCAGTAAAGGTTAAAGTGTAACACAATATAATGATAATCAATTTTATGAAAGAAGAATCATGAATAAATTAATTATTCTGAAAAGAGTGAAGAATAAATTTACAAAATCAATTATCGAGATTTGGATGAAAAGCAATTCAAATTGAATGCACAATTTGGTGGCATCAATTTTTCATCATGTAAAAGCCTCGTTAAAAGTAAAGTTGAAATTAAATGTTGCTAATTGTAACCTTTTCTGGTTGTCTTTTGGGTTTACTTTTAAAATTGACATACAAAGTGAATGTTTGCAGTTGAAACAAAATTGTCAGTTTGTTGCTTCGTTGTGACGTTATCGAGGTGATAAAATACAAGTTGGTGCATTAATAATGCTTACCGATTACAGCAAATGAACTTGGTCCAATCCCAGATTCCCCAGTGATCCATAGTTTTAACCTTTAATGGTGAATACTCTTCCAAATTGGTGAAATCCAGACTTGATTGTAATCTACTTCTTGGACAACGAAATTGCTTTTAAACTGTTTTGATGATAAACTTGTTAATTGGTTCAACTTTTGCAAAGAAATGGTTTGCCTTTTGTTGTTGTCTGTTGGGTCAACCAGGGTAAAGATGAAACAAAAGTTGCAATTTAAATCATGACAATGGTGCTGTTCAACTGATGCACTTCACGTCATGATGAATCCCTTGAAATTGACTGTCCAATCGCAAGTCAACATTTGATTAGCATAACGCTGTGAATCAATTGAAAGGTTGCAAACTCTTCATTTACTTGACAGTAAAAAAAGATTCACTTTTTTGTTCACAAAGTTTACCAACACCGTATCATTATTAATTGATGATTTTTAATGATGTTAATCTTGATGAGCTATTGTAGCTTGTAAGTGTTGATTAGATTGATGGTTAAATTGAACAAAATCAATAAAGGGTTGAAGAAGAGAAAAATTGGAGCAAAAAAGTGATGTTATGATGGACGTTAATTGAAAGTGACACTTTTGACTTGCAGCCAAATTAAAAGGATAAAGTTGAGCAATTAAAGTGGACACGATGATTAATAACGACAATTGTCAATATCAAAGGTAAAGGGATAAAAGTGTGTGTCTGCTCATTTTGTGTAACCTTTTCCCCAGTTTAACCCTGTAATATTGTTTGTCAGACTTTCCTTTGAACCTTTTTAAAATGACATGGTAACGGTAACAACAACAATAAACATTGAATAATCTGATTTAGCTTTAGCTTGACTCTAGCAATTGCAAGCAAACTAACCTACAGACTCCAACTAAAGCGAAGTAAAAATTCATTGAGCCTGTCCTCTTCAGCATCATCCTCATCATCCTCATCATCAACTACATCAGTAAACTCAATCCATCGATCCGTTTCCTCATCACTTTCAATCATCTCTGTCTCTCTCTCCCAGAACTTCTCATTCTCTTCTTATTATTACATCATTTTCTTTTGCTGTCTGTACTCTTCTCTTTCTCTCTTGTCTGTCTCTGCTTTTCTTTCCTCCTCACCTTGTTTCTATTTAAGAATCTCTATTTAAAGCATGTTCAAGTATCCCATGAAATACCTATTCTCATCTCTTTTACTTTCTTTTCTATCATCCAACAATAGATTGTCTTTCATACATTTGACCTCAACTTGCATCATCTCAATTCATTTTTTTCATTCTCTGAACATCTAGACATGAAAAAATTTGCATTAATAATTGTTTATTTTTTTGTATCAAATTGAAGTAAAGTATTGAGTTGATTCCCAATCCTTAATTTCAAGATTCAAACTCAAAAACATTGGATTCATGCCATTCATCCATCATGAATCAAACTTCAAAGACGGATTGCCATCTGACGTTTAAGAAATAAACTAATTACAATGTTCAGGCTTCAACTATAACCGGTCACAACTCAAACCCTTTTTCATGCTAATCTTAGCTCATACCAGTACCCAATGAACACTTGTGACTCACATGTGAGTCTCGAAACGCTCACTTGCTTTACTGCTCTATTAATGTTCAATATTGACACTTCAGTACATGTTAAAGTTGATAAAAAAGGGAAAAGTCAAGTTAATTTTCAGGTATTGCCATCTCGATAATATTCTCGAAAAAAATCTCCACTTTTGTTCACTTGTTCGAATCTTGCCCAAGTCCTGGTAAGGTGACCTACAGTAGTGCTTACTCATGACTAAACCTCTTGGACTATCCCAACCTCATTTCCTGATGGATTTCCATCTTTCTGTTTCATTTTTACTATCTTATTCAAGGTTTTAAGTTTAATAAGAATAGTTTACACGCGTTAATCTGGATTGAAATTTCTCAGCCAAGATTTCATAATAAAATTTTCTTGCTCAACCAACAATCGATTGATACAAAGTTGGTAAAATCAAACATTAAATGATGACTTGTGAATAAAAGAACCGTTTTTAGCATGAAGAGACTAACAGAATCGTTTGAGAGGTAAACCAACGATGTCATTTTCCTTGACTAGTCAATAGTAACTGTTTCATTACGTACTTATAAAGTAATCAACAGTTTCATACAGGAACATTTAATTAATGTAAACACTTATTTCGTCTGGATATAGTCTGGATAAATATGTTTCAAAATGAATTCAGATTTTATTATATAAAATACATTGCTACAAATGATGAGTGATCTTCAGGGTCACCATGTTACTCAACCATGATGAAATTTTTAATCCCTTTTCCATTAAAAAGTTCATCATTGCAATATCGTTCTTAGGCTTTCCTTTATACTGTAAATATCAAAACTAGTTTATTGTCTTTAAATGTTGAAAACCTAATCAAACAGAGTTATAAAGTAGATCAATATTACGAGTAAATAATGGAACAGATGATTAACTCATTAAACGTGTTGAAAGGTTGACAAAAAGAGATCGATCTTTGAGAGCTGAGCTCAATCCTTGATCAAATGCTCGATAAGAGATCGACTAATGTTAATTTAGCTAAATCACCCGTCAATTCTTGATTCATTTAGTCAATCACTTTTCCGATACAAAAAGTAATGAGCAAATGTTTCTTAATGAACTCTAAAGATAAATAATTTCCAACTAATCCATAGTAACGAGAAATTCATTGAAAAGTCTGTGGCTTCAATTATTGAAATTTCATAAGCTAAGTCAACAATCGATCTTTAAATCGATTTTCAAATTTCAAGATTCTCAAATTGAGATTAAATTCACCAAGCTGAGAATGAACAAAGTTGTCTTTAAATTGAAGTTTACTAGTGCCAAGTGAAACGGCTTGTAAAACAAAACTCAAATGGATTCCAAAGTAAATATAATTGATTATATAAAAGTGAATAAGTTTAAATTGTGTCAAAGTTTACTTTGCTTTGCCAGTTATGCTGGATTGGGTGCTGTAATTACCCTACTTGGCACTTCACTACTTGATTATCAAATTTTGACAAGCTCAAGTTTCCATACAATTGTTTACCTTGTCCAGATAAGATCAGTGGGTTATATTTTAGGATCAATTTCAGGTAACTTTTCATGGAAACATTTATTCGCATGTTGACCTTTGGTAAATTTGAATGTCACAAGAAAAATTGTCTTTTAACTTACAGCTCATTTCCTTGAAAAAGTTTTTCATCAAACCTTGATTCTTACATTTTCCAATCTTGTACTTGGATGTACTCTCATTGCTACTCCGTACTTTGAAAATGTCATCTTGCTGTTCATCGCTACACTTTTCATCGGAATCACATTTGGTATTCTTGAAATTTGTATGTAATATCACTTGAGGTCTTGTTTTATGTCATTTAAACTTCATTTTTATGCTTCGTTTTTTTTCATGCTTGTCTCACCAGACGTTCATGTTTACATTGGCTTCTTATGGAAAGCTGAAAGTACAAATTATCTTCAAGCACTTCACATGTTTTTCGACGTTGGAGCTCTTGTTTCTCCGGTCATTACTCGGCCCTTTTTATTGCCAATCGATCCTGATGAGTATAATGCTCAATCGAATCAAACTTTAACTAACCTTTCATCGACCACAGAAGTTAAAATTTTCACCAAAAATGATCTTCTCATTCAATATCCACATGCAATCATGGGCTTGTTTCTTTTTCTAGTCGGCATTGCATTTACGATAACCTCATTCAAAGATCATTCGGAACAAGATTCAATTGAACAAGAAACTGATCAATCTTCTGATCAAAGTCTCAACTGGAAACAACGAGTTGCCATCATAGTAACAGCTTTAATTGTAAACTTTGAGTTTGGAGCTAACAATTTAGTCAGTAAGTCAAGTTTATCTGTAATTATACCCTTTTTATTGAGATAATCTTCACCATTTGATTTCGATGAAAAATTCTGATTTTAAAATATCATTGAGTTAATCTGACATTCTAGTTATTTTCAAGAGAATTTTTTATTACATCAGTTGATGTTTTTTGAAATTGAATACTTGAATTATCTATTAGCTAAAGACTTGAGATAACATTTGCTAGCTAAATAAATATTGAATCGTTCAAATTTAAAAATCAGCTTACAAACTTCGTGTAGAATTGTTGAAAAAATGAAACCGGAACTGAAATTTTTGAATCTTTTTACATCTCGAAAGTGCAAGCCATAAATTGAACAATGATACAATACTAAAATCTTGAATTTTCATTAAGGTGCTCTTGGACCAGCTTTTGCAGTTAAATCTAACCTTAAAATGACGAAGCAAGAAGCCGCTCTTCTGGTCACAGCTTATTGGTCTTCATGCTGCATTTATCGATTAATCATGATTCCAGCGGCGATTTACTTTAAGGAAAGTAGCCTGATTATAGCCAATTCAGTTATCATGATTTGTGGTGCAGCAGTAATGGGTTACACAGGAGATTCAAATCAAACACTTATCTGGATCTCCTTGATTCTCTTGAGTTTAGGATTTTCACCTTGTTTCGCCTTTGCTTTTGGTTACATTCAAAAACATTTCACTGTTCAGAGTAGCATGGCATCTGCAATGTTCCTATGTGGAACTTTGGGTGAATCAATTCATCCTTGGATAGTATCTTTTTACATGGAATCTTGGTCAGCCTTTTACAGCTTTTATTTTGCTTTTATTGCGATACTCAATGCGTTATTGTGTATCTTTTTAGTCTATTTTGTTACTAAATTTATTTCTCATACAAGAGATGAATATTTAGAAGTGAAGTAAAAGATCTGTTTATTTCTGAAAAATCCTTCAACTTTGATATTAACTTAATACAAGTGTTAGGATTGTTCAGATGCAAGTTAAGCAAACTTGAAATTACTGTAGACGTTTAAGCCTAAGTGTTGAGAGTTTTGTCCAAAATACACCATTCCATCTGCTCAGTGGTTTAATCAATGATACTGGGTAGCACACTTTAGTCAGTTGATCGGAAAATTTCAAAGTTAATAAAATTTTTAATCAAAAATCAATCATTTCAATCATTCGTTTTCCCTTCGTTAAAACGAATTGTTTGTAAAACTTTTATTGAAATAAAGCAATTATGAATAGACCAATCTTAATTTTGAAGGCTTCTGTTTTATTTCCTGCACTGAAATTCAAAAATTCATTCATTCACGATATTCATCACAAGACGTAAGTTTTCAAAATCAGGTTCTCACTCATTGTCTTGAAGGTTTATTGGATTGGTTATATGATAATGATCCAATATGAGGCAGAATCCTTTTACCTAAAAGCATTAAACATTTAAATGATAATCGTTGATGAGACATTTCTTTATTTACATTGAATTGCAATATATTGCGTGAATAGTAAAAGTTTAATGAGAATAAAATAATAAACAGTTTCCATGATTGATCAATTTTAACTTCACAATCATCAATTATTAGATTGGTTACGAGCTGAGCAAAGAGAATCAATAATAAAATATCAAGAAAATTATCAACTCTTGATCATGAATCGATGAAATTATCTAAAAATCTTCTGATCAGTGTTGACTTTCAAATCGCAAGATTTGTATACCCGGAGCAACAGCAAAATGCAAAGCCAAATATCATGTCAGCGATTACAGAATGGGAAAAAGTGTTCAAAATCTGATGTTGAAATCTGTGCCAGCTGTAGAAATGTGATGGAAAACAAAGCTATCGAACATGTCGAGACTTTGGAATATTTTTTGAATCATCTTTTCATCGTTCGATCAAGCTACAAGCAAAGTCAACATGAACGGTCAACTTTAATGAACTATTTTGAATTGAATCATCGATTGATACAACTTTCTGTTAGCCTTAACTTGGTTCGATTTGCTGCTCTACTAATCTTCAATATTGACACTATTTCAATATTATTAGGTGATCCATTTTTCAAGTTTCCAGGTCGCAAAGTGGTCTACATTTTAGTGATCATTTTAGCTCTAACAATGGGACTTTTCCGTGAATATGTATTGCACCTTGAAAGTAAAGGATGTCTCCAGTTTTTATCGACCTTTGCCTTGATCAAAAAAATTGGCTTCGATAAAAGATCACTCAAAATGACGGATATTCAGTTGCAAAAGTTTCGTCACGTATTTTACACGGTTGGTCGCTATTTTAGCATAAGCATGAAAATGTGTCTTCCTTTGATTGTTGCATTAATGATTGGACTGCGATTGAATAATGAAATTTACTCGACTAATCTATCAATTTGGTTGACCAGCATTTTTTGGATTCTAACTGAAGTTCATGCTCTTTATTTTGCTATATGTGGAGTCGTTGTTATTGCCTGTCACATCATCATGGTATTTCCAATCTACTATTATCAAATGATGTCTTTGGTGGAACTTTTAGAACAATTTTCGCTCAAAGAAGATTTGGTTACCGCCGAAGTTGTTCGAGGTTTAAGTGCAAATACAATTCGATTCATGAATGAATTTGATCAGCTCAATGATCAATTGAAACACTTGATTTCTTATGTATTTGTCGTCTTCTCATTCACGGCTGATTACTTTATATTTTCTGCGACTATCATGCAACGAAATTCTGCTTTATTGTCAACAGTTTTTTTTGCTTTTGGCGCTGGTGTTCTGAGCATCATCGGATTTGAAACATTCATTCTTGGTGGATTCATTACAAAGGTATTAATAGTATTCAGAAAAGGTTTAAGCGTCCAATTCTTCAATTCTTCATTCAGTTTATATTTAGGATTTTAATCGTGAATTCGATTAAATATTAAACTCAGAAACTATCAGAACTTTCTTGGATCTACGCTTCTATGATTGAATAATGTTAGAGTTTTTATAATTTATAAGAGTTGAAAAGAGTTGGTGAAAAACGAAAAGTAAAAAATGAATATCTTTCCATTTACTCAAGTTTGCATTTTCTCTGGTTGTGAAGTTATCCTCGATTAACATCTCAATAACTGAATAATCTTGTACTCACAAGTGCCAACAATTGCCTTTAAAAGGAAAGCAAATGGTTCGTCATTTTAATGCCTCGTTTTTTTGCTTTTCTGTTGATAAATAGCTCAATGTTATCCACGCACTTTTTCTGCGATTAATGAGAAAATCAAAAATAATGTTTACTAAAAAATCAAAGGTAAGATTCGATTTGCAAGAATGGATAATGAAATAAATATGGTTTTTCTTTAAGCCTTTCGAAGTTTTATCTCGCATCACTGGACCTTATAATGGTTTTAAAATTGGTGACATGATAACAGTCAACAAAACTATTTTTGTTTATGTAAGTATCGCAGATCAAACTTGCATTTTTCACATTAAATAAATTATGTACATGTGCATGTAATGCATACTTTTACTCAACAACCAATATTCCACTCTTCTTTTTGCTTACTTTGCTTTTGCTCTTGAAAGCAGTACAAAGCGTCAAAATATTTTCATAAAACAGGATTATCCGACTAATATTTAATATGATGAGCTTAAGTTTGAATTGGTGATGAAAAAATTGCACAAAATCGTAGCAAATCGTAGGAATGATATTCGAAACTGTCCTCTATTTTTTAATTCTACACTTGATAATTTGATGAAATTGATTTATTTTTATATGCAATATTTGTCTCATTGATGAAAATACGATTTGCTGGATAATTTGTGTTGTTTCCATAATTTATCAATCCAACTTGAGCCTAGGGACTCGAACAATTAGTATCTGTTTTGATGCAAACTGAACTGATCCGACTGCAAGAGTTCAGAAATTTTGACCCTCAAACGTACAAATAACAAGAATTAGTTTTGCAAGGAGATTTATTCAATATAGAAATACAGAAACTTCGAGATGAATTGAATTTACAAAATTTTCGTACAAAGCCGAAGCAAATGCAAAACTGGTCTAAGATGTATTGCGGACTGCAAAACATTTTTCATAATTTCATTTATTCTATTCTTTTCACTAATATTGCCATGCAATTTTTCTTCTTTCCTCAGTATCTGGTGGAGAACGCATCCATAATAATGTTACTGTCGGTGAATATTCGACCTTTCTTAGAATGACTTTTCTGTAATTTTTATATTAAACATTTTCGTTCATTTGAGAGCATTATTAATATTTTTTGCTGGGAAGTGGGTATTAGTACTACATGTATGTAGAATTTGCAAATTATAAATAGCCTGAGATTATTAGATTCTTAATAGATAGCGGAAAATATACACCATCGATTCGACATTATCAATCAATAAATTAGAATTGACTCGCCCAACTTACAAGTTAAGTAAAATCATTTTTACTTTTTAGCATTTTTACTTACATTAGTAGTCTGGATCTAATTGAAAAGTACAGTTTTTATAGTCATCATCTAAAAAAGAGAAGTTAAGAAACAGACGCTTCTATGCCACAGAACGAAAACGAAAATGGTGGCAAAACCATTCAAGAATACCCAAAACCTTCTTACCTCTATGCCAGTTGATTTAATGGTTATTTTAGCCAAAAATATTTACTAGACATTTATCAGCCTTGTCTCCTGATAACTAAGTGTCCTTTTGTCTATCTAGCCCTTGACTTTCATAAGGATGCGGAAATGTTTTTTTCCACTGAATAATCAATTTAAAGTTTAGCATGTCTCTGGCTGGTTCTGTTTTTTTTTCAATAACTTCCAACTGATTCTAGTAAATTCAAGTCAACGTCGATTCTAAATTGGTTATAGTCGAACCATTTGCTATCTGTGAAATTGAAATACAGCCCATTCAAAGATTTTTATTATCATTATTGAAATTAGTGTAACTCAATTTTGGAGTCCTTCTACTTTGGCTACACTTCGGCTACACTACACTACGAATGAAAATAGAAATTTCAACTTTGCCCTCAATTTTATTGCTGTTAATCAGAGAAATCTTTAAAAGCACAAATGGACTCAGTTTTTATGCCCTTACCAACAGTATTGGTGTTTCATACGCTTCCAACTCATCGCCTAAAGGCAAATTGAGTCAGTACTAACGCATCTTTGAGTTAGTACCAACTCACCAAAATTTCAAGAACAGACAAGGAGTGAGTCAGTACCAACTCATCCAAGATTTAGTACCAACTCACCAAAGATTCATTACCAACTCATTGAAGATTCAGTACTAATTCAGTGTAATAAGGTAAAATGAGTCAGAAGTAACTTAGATTCAGTAGCATTACTTACCCGTAAGTAGCAAGTAGAACCTGTGAACAAATATGAAAAAGTAATCAAGTTGGCCGAGCGGGCTTGAACTCGCGTCATCAAGGAAACCATTGGTTACGCGAGTTAATGGAATTCACTGATGACGCGCGATTTACGAAATTTTTGAAACAAAAAAATTAATGCATAATTAATTAATTTATTTTTGAAACATAGAAATGTTTAACTTGTGGCATTCCCCATTGACTGAAGGCAGGCAAACCTTTTCAATAACTTCAGCCAAGTCACCATAATTACGTAGGTTGACAAATCGATCATTCTCCAGTCGAACTACGTTGAGACTGATAGCCACCATTTCTTCTCGCCAATTTCGCATCAAGAAAGCATTTGCTGGCAATTGCATGTGGATGGAGATGCAGATTCTCCGTGAGAGGCCATATATGGTTTCATTCTCCCGAATGAATTTACAAAGATAATAGAGCTTGGCTCGCATCGGTCTACAAAAGCTTGGAAAGATGCTGAAAGAGAAAACAGAAAGAAAAATTAATTAAAGTAAATGATAAAGTTAATGAGTTAGACCAAAACTTACTATGGAGCATTTCTCAGGTAATATGGTTTGGTATTCATCTGAAAAGAGAAAGAAAAAAAAGATTAATGAACTAAATAACGAATCGATCTACGCAATATTTTTGAATTGAAGTTTATTCAATAGTGAATGAGATGGATTTTGGCCATTGAAAGTTGGCCATCGAAAGAAATTCGAAAAAATCACTCCTTCTATGGGAAAATCGAGTTTTAACCCTGCATTTTTTCAATTGCTCATAACTCGCTTTTTATTACGCGCTTGATCTTGTCGCAGTAAAGTGCGTTGGATTTGTCTGATTAAAACACACAACTTCTATTTTCATTAATTTTACCTAGCCTACTATTGAAAAGTTATTCTTTTGCGACAAATTCGACTATGCTAAACTTGATTTATAACTTGAAAACAGTAATAGATAAAGGTATACTTCTACGATAATAAATTATCACCTCAAAATTATCTTTCCATTTCGCAAGGTCACAAAGGTCTTTTTCAAGGTCAATTTTTTTCCAGCTATACATAGCTTTTGTTGGACTAATATTATGAAAGTGTCTAAAGTCTGTATCTAGTGTCTTAAAGTGACTGTCAGATTATTATTGAGTTCCACCTTGAGTTTGACTTAAAGTTTGATTTTGACTTTAGGATTAAAATTGAGTTTTAACTTAACTTGGCAAAAATACATTTCTTACTGATTTTGTTCATTCTGTTTTTTGTTTATATTAAGAAATATATCGAGTCACTGCTGGTTCGTCTCCTATTAGTTTGAAATTCATCCGGTTATCTGATGTCGAGGTTCAGGCTGATGAAACACAGCAAATAACAAATGAATGTGCTATTTAATATGAGGATGCAATCAACTTTGCTGACATCAAAATTTCAATATTTGAATTTTTTCTATTTTATCTCTTATTTTATCAAAATTAAGTAGAATTGATTAGTCACAGAAGAAGAAAAACAAAAGTTAGCTAAAATTATTAGATCAGTGGAAGATGATAACCACAGTGAAAAGCACAAACAAGTGAATGATAACCTTATCAATTTTCATCAGTTTCATGAAACAATTTTCAACTGGAACAATTTTATGGATCATGATGCGACTTAAACTTTCAGGACCTTCGCTTCCACACTTGCGACAGCAGTTTTTTCCAAATCCACAGAATTCAGGTTGATAAACTTCTTTCTCTGTGAGGAAAGGACCAAGACAGCATCCTTTGTTACTTGTTGGATTGTCTGGTCGGAATTTCTTACAGAATCCCTTGTAATCAGACTTGTGGATTGGTATACAGTCTTATTTAGTGTACCACTTTTCGCAACACCATCAACTGTATTTTTGACACCCAAGTCACTAGCATAGTGTATTATATGCTGCCAGAATACCACGTTTTGTCTATTTCGGCTGCAGAATGGGATGAAGACATTGCAAGGTTTGTCATTCATTTTCGCGGCCCTTTATAGTAATATAAGTAGATTATTAAACAGATACTGTAGTGGATTAAAGTAGAATTACAATTATTATTATTTCATAAGAGTTACAATTCTTAGGAATAAAACTATGTTTTAAGGAGTCTAATACAATATACCGGCCGCCATTCTGAACAACCAATGTCCAGTTACAATATTATTGCGATGGTTGAATAACTAGAATGTTCACCTTAATCTTTGACCTTTGGTTTACAGGAATGTTTATGGGTAATACAGTAATTACGGTCGGTTTAAAACAATATTGGTGTTGTCTGAGAAATTTGGTATTATCTAAAAAGTATGGTCTAGCCTCAAGATCGCACCAACTCTACAAACAATTTTTTCTTCGATCTTATGTCTCAAAACTGCACCGGACTCAAGTAGGAATATGTTATTAATTTCGATCTTTTGTCTCAAAACTGCACCGGACTCAAGTAGGAATATGTTATTAATTTGGAATGTTTTATCTAAATATCTAATTGTAAATTTAGTATATTTTCCCAATGCGGGTTATTAACACTATTAATTTTTGTTTCCGCACCTTCTATCATTTGTTTTCTAAGGGTAATTTCTGGAGTCAATTGCTCAATTTTCTCATCTTTGGATCTAAGCTCTGCTTGGTTAGAAATAAGTTCGTCCATGCAAAAGCTTGTATGAATTTCTTGATTCCAATTTTTCGCGGTACATCTAGTGCAATTTTTAACAATATGGGAGCAATTATTGAATTTTTTGCTTCTATAATAGTCCTATATGTAGGGAACCCACAATATACTTTTAATTTATTCCAGACTTCTATTGATCTAGTACCTAACTTTTTGTGTGCATTCTAACGGTTCCCTACTATAAGGACATGGTAGAGGTTTTAAGGGGGTTAGCTTATAAGCCTTTGCGCAAGTATTCAAACACATTCATGCTCTAAAATGCATGCAGGTATGTTCATGAAATTAATTCCAAGCACACGATGCAAGTGGAGTCCTTGTATGCTTCCGAATCTACGGAATCTCTCATAACTTGAGACTCAGGAGCTTGTTTCATGATGGATAATATTTCGGGATTTTCCGGAGCTGGTCTATCGTCTACAGCGTCATCGTCAGCGTCGTAAGTTGGGGGAATCCAGTTACGCCAATTTAGTTCACGATGAAATCTTCTTCGCATGTTCGATGCATTGGAGCGAGATGTGGTTGAAGATGGAACAGAATTGCGATTGGAAGAAGTATTTCTAACATTAACACGTCTACCTCTACTAGTATGAACGGCTAATCTATTGGATAAAATACTTATTTGTCAGCCACATCGGAATCCCCGTCTCTTCCTCTGCATTAACTTACCTTTTGGTTTATTCCAGCTCAAATAGCAGGCATAGAGTAATTAAAACTTAATTGCTAGGAAATTCACTTGCCAGTAATAGAAACTAATGTTGATTAAAGTAGTTAATATCACAAAAACTATATCCATAGGAAACTGGTTTTTAAGACTTGATCAAGTTCCTCAACAATGTTCAAAGTAGTTAAAAGGTATAAGTAGGAGTGAGTGAGTCTTATATCTGTTTTGCTAGAGAATAGCGAATGTCGTAATTCAACTCATAGAAACATAGTTGGTACTAACCACTGCCTATGCGAAAAACTTATTGAGCAATTATGTAACATTGAATAAATCTTAAATACTTTTTGCTTTTTAACTATCACATTCACAGACGAATCATTACCATCTGATTCAGAAGGCTGATCATTAGAGAACGAAGAAATGGCTTGAGGATCGATCTTCGGAACTTTTTACGGTATGGATTGCTGCTTCATGTTGCTTATTTCGAAACGTCTTTGTATGTTGTCAGCCATCACTGGTATTTTCCGAATATTTTTTGTTACTTCAACCCCAGATGAGGAACCTTGTGAAGATATAAGAAAATGTAAAGATAATTTCTAAAAATTATGATAAGAGGAAAAAAGGTTATATAGTTTTAACTAATTTTTATGGCATGAAAATTGAAATAAGAAAATAGAAGAGTAAATTAATTGTTTTCTGTTGAATAATAATGTAAAGGGTGTTAAGGTTTATTTCTACGAAAATAGGGGGAACAGTTATCAGCATTTTCATCTTAATCTTAAGGTAATTTCATATCTCTTTCACCCTACTCTACTCCTATATGACGTTATGCAAATCAGTGTGTTTAGTATTGTTGCAGAATCAATTTTCAATCAATTTTGAGGTCTCAATATAAATCAAGTTAAGAGACAATTTTTAACAAAATCTTTTCATTTACTTCACGCCTCTCCAACGGAATCGTGTTTTTTGTTGGAAAAATAACCAATTAAAGAAGAAACAATTCAAGTCAGGGTTGACCAGATTGGGCTTTCATTTCTAAGCTTTGGGTTCTGCTCGAAAAACCAATTTCTAACGGCTGTATCTAGCTATTTCAAGGGTTGATATTAATATCTGTGAATCAATAAAAAATTATTAATATCAATGTCGAGTTTTGGATATATGCAATCTTGAATCAAATTAAATCTTTGAACAGTAAAAACAATTACAATCATTCATCAAGAACAGAGAACCTTTTCCGATAAATCAATAGACTTCTAGATGATCGATAGATTGGACTTTTGTTGAATGTCGAATTGCGTATCTGATGCGGATTTAAATTTAATAAGCCTTTATTTGCACAAATTTTAGCCATTAAACTAAACAATTATGTATTTTTGTCAATTGACTTTTGATCGAATACCTCTTTTCCAAGCTTTGTCCATTTTATTATTGATTCTATTAAATTTGTTTCTATTCAGATTTGATTTGATTTACTTCAATTCAATTTTAGATCACAACGAATTGCACATTCTCTGCGTTTTAAAGTACATTATACTGAAATCCAAATCATGACGAATATATATTTCCTTTTTTTTGCTCAAGCTTCGATTTCTTAATATTCCACTATAATTGTAATCATTTAATGTGAGCAAATTAAACCTAGATACAATGATATCACGAACCTTGTAATTTCTTGGTTTAATGCAAAGTTTCTTTATCATTGTTGAAACAATGAGTCTGAACAATAAGTATTCTCAATGCAAAACAATACATTTAATGAGATGAAAAGTCAAACATGATGGATTTATAGATTAATAGCAGTGGGACGTTTTTTCTTGTGGAATCAATTGGTTTAAGTTTAAATTTTGTTATTTCTATTGTTTAAACAATGGTTGGTTGGCAGAAGACAATCATGATGAGCCTGGCTTTTGTTAAAAATATTTTCATCAAAACTGTCCTCTTCATCGTTGGTTTACCTAATGGAGATGAACACGAAGAGGTAACTATTGCTGCATTTAATCAATGGTGTCGACTTTCAAGATTGTTTGGGTCAACAATGAATGGCTATAAATGTTATTCTTCGGCAACTCCAAATACAATCTCTTCTTTTAACCGAAAAAATTTTCTGATTCGTTTTTGTAACATTATAAGCATAATTCGACTGGTAATCTTGCTTCTCTATGAAAACGAAACTGTCTCGATTTTCGGTGGAGACCCTGTATTCCGTTCTAAAAAACGAATCCTTGAAATTTTCATTATATTCATTGGGTTGGTCATCGGATTCCTTGCTCGAGAAATTTTTCTCTCACTCGAAGCAAAGTTAAGTGAAAAAATGTTTTTTTGTTTCCAATGTTTCCTCCAAAGTAATGGTTTCAATCATTTAAATCTACAGATGAACCCGTCTAGGGCTATTGCTTTTCGATATTTAGTTCACTTTTTTTCCTTCTTTTGGACGCGTTTCATGTGTTTATGTATTCCTTTCTTGCCAATCTTATTGAACACAACAATTATTATAAATCCATACTTTTACCAGATTCCATGTTATACCATTTCCAGCATATTATGGTCCATTCCATTAACACTTGCTTTTGTTTTTAATGTTGTGGGTTTCGCCAGTATAAGCGGTTACTGTATAATATCTGGACTCTTCTACCTGAACAGACTAGAGTCTATTTGTTCCATTGCTGTAGATGCAACTGCTAAGGACAACGAAATTGAAGAACAGTTTGTTATCTCTTTAATTTTGAAGTTCATTAGCCACTCAAACAACGTTGAACGCTTTCTCAATGTTTTAGCATTTCTTATTTTGTATTATATTCTGGCAGTCTCTTTCATCGCTAATTTGCTTATTTTCGCTGGTTGCATTGCGAGACTTTATTCAGATGTTATTGCCGACATGTGCAGTTTTCTTGGTGGTACGATCATGGCTGTGTTAATCATCGCATGCTACACTGAAGGATCATTTATTACAAAAGTACGAAAAAATCTGTAATTTCGGATTAATATTTTTGAACATAACTATTGCTAATACTTTTGATGCTTTTCAGCTTGATTTATTTTATAGAAAGCTTCATTTAATTAGCGAATCTGGATTGGAAATGACAACAAAGATGAAGGTGAATTAAAGCATTTAAGGGAACAAAAACTATTTCAATTTCATTTCATTTAAGATACTGGAAGCTATGGACAGGATAATTGGACCATACAATGGAGTAAAAGCAGGAGATTTGGCGACCATTTCTAAACATTTTTTTATTATTGTGAGTATTCAAATGTTACCGTATTGACGCGAATAGTGGTACAGTGTTTCTCTCTTTCTCTTTCTCTCTTGAAATTATTGTAAATCGAGTATAAAAACTTGACAAGATGAATATCATAAATGATTCACATCCTTAATTCACGACTATGCTGATACCAGCACCCAATTTGATCAATAAAATGCGCACATGATGGCTTACTTTTTTTATAACCACGGTGCCACTATGTACGTCAATAAGGTAAGTCACCCTAGATGAACAGACCTTAATGTTAGAGTCTTATTTTACCTACAAGTTTCTATTGGAAAATGCATCATTTTTAATGCTGATAACAGTCAACACAAGATCGATGTTGGAGTCCACAAAGTAATTTGAAGAATGGCTGCCAGTAACTTATTATCCCAGTCAATTTCTTAGATATCTACAATTTTGCAATGGTTTTAAAGCAAAAATGAAGTAAGTCTGTGTTGAAGCAAGTCGGGATATTTGAATCTGGCCCAATTTGATGAGCAAATTGATAATGTCTTCTTTCAAAGCACATTCGCGCAACGCAGGAGCCACCAGAATAGAAAATGTTGTCTTTTGCCATTTTCGGGGATTAATAATATTGAAACAGTAATATTTACAGTAACATTGAAACAAAGTTTAGCTATATACATTGATTTTATAATCGGATATTGTTCAACCAAATAAGAACAAATTCGAATCACGAAAATCTATTGGAAAAGATCTATGCCATTCTTTTCATGTAAATTTAGTGCCTAATAAAAGAAGTAACAAATGCTTAGTTCTGAATGCAAAATAAATCTTTAGTCATAGGCAAACGTAATGGCACACATTGTCTCACTCGCACTTTAAAGACCATTAGATTAGAGAAGTACTGATTGTATACAAGCTCTGCCTTAACCTAACCTTAAATCAAAAAATAAAATATTGAATTATGAAATTTGCGGAAATTGCGTGAATAATAATTGAGTAAATGAAAATTTAATGACAGTTGAATAATTTTAACCTTTTTCTTAAATCATCTATCTCATGCTCAAATGATGTGTGAATAAACTTAATCAAAAATGAAATCATAATAAAACTATTAAATTTTGATCTGAAATCGATAAAACTACGTAAAACTTACCTGAATAGACTGACTTTCCATAACTGAAAACTTTAAGATGAACAGAAATGTAAAATGTTTAGTTGGAGTGACATCAAAATGCATAAACAGATATTTGGTTTCCAATCACTAAATGCCAGTAGAAGCTCGGCATTTAACGATGGTGTGAATGATGGAAATGTGCTTGGAAGCAAAGCCATCGAACATGTAAATACTCTAGAATATTTTTTGAATCATCTTTATGTCATTCGATCAGGTTACAAGCAAAGTAAAGATGAACGATCAACTTTCATGAGCCAATTTGAATTACATCATCGATTGGTACAGCTTTCTGAAAGTCTCAGCTTAGTTCGCTCTATTGCTCTTTTCATATTCAACGATGACACGATATCAATTTTACTCGGTGATCCACTGTTCAAGTTTCCAGGCCGTAAAGTGTGCTATATTTTAGTGATCATTCTCTCTCTGGCAATGGGACTTTTTCGTGAATATGCATTGCATCTTGAAAGCAGAGGAAATCTTACGTTTCTATCGAAGTTTGAACAAATGAAAAAGCCTAACTTCGATAAGCGATCCCTGAAAATGACGCGTATCCAGTTTAACAAATTTCGTCTAGTTTTTCTCATGATTGGTTCATTTTTCAGCTTATTCATGAAAATAAGTCTTCCATTTATAATTGCATTCTCAGTTGGAGTTCGCTTAAATAACGAATCCTACTGGAGTACTCCATCAATCATCTTGACCAGTATGTTTTGGATTGGATTTGAAGTTCATGCGTTTTATTTTGCGGCTTGTGGAGTCATTGTTGTTGCCGTTCATATCATTATGGTATTTCCAATTTATTACTACCAAATGCTGTCACTAGTTGAGCTATTGCAAAAGTTTACGGTAAAAGAAGAATCGGTTACTCATGAAGTTTTGCGTGGTCTGAGTTTGAACACGATTCGATTCATGAATGAATTTGATCACCTAAATAACCAATTGAAACATTTGACTGCTTATGTTTTCGTCATTTTCTCATTCATGGGTGACTACATCATCTTTTCGGCTACTGTTTTGAGTGAAAGTTCAACCATTTTGTCAACGCTTATGTTGTTCTTTGGTTTCAGTGATTTGATGGTTATTGGACTGACAACATTTGTTCTTGGTGGTTTCATTACAAAGGTAAAAATGGTGTGATAATTATTCTACTTTCAAGCATTGGCAATGCCTCTGGACAAAATAAAGATTAACTTATTAATATGAGAAATTTCACTATTTCGTATTTCGTATTATGATTAGCTCGAAGTTGTTTACACTCTTTACCTGCGATTAATGATAAAATCGAAAACTAAACTGACTCAGCGTTTCAAGGTAAGTTGAAGAAGGTTATCAAGAATCAAGATTGAAATGGAATAACTTTTCTTTAAGCCTTTCGAAATTTTATCTCGCATCAAAGGACCTTATAATGGTTTTCAAATTGGTGACTTATTAACAGCCGATAAAGCCATTTTTGTATATGTAAGTACTTCAAGCATTTATTCATTTATTGAAAAACAGTGAATCACTGGCATGTTGAAAAATCAAATACTTTATACTCATGCAAATTTCAATGTGTAAATGCAGGGTAAATGAGCTTATTGCATTTGATTTATTTCGATGTGTCAATTTTTGAGCTGCGTTTCAGTGAAAAAACTTTCAATATCAATCGTGAATAGACCATGTTCAAGCTTCGGGTTGAATATCATTTTAATTTCTTTTCTTTCTACAGTATTTGCTCGAGAATATGTCTATTGTTATGCTATTATTGGTGAATATTGGACCCTTGGAATAGTATCTCTCTAAATGAATCAAACTTGGATAATGTTTCTCCGTTTCTCATGCAAAGCATCAAGCAATAAATTGCACCAAGTGAAAGTGCTTGGAAATTTTATTATTAGGGGTATCAAAAAGTTCTGCCGTTTTTTACCAGTAAATTTTACTTCGATTTTGAATAAGTTCGACTTATAAAGACTCAATAATTTCAGAAATACAAGAAAAAACGACGGAACTTTTTGATACCCCTAATATATATAAACGTGAAGATATCGCTTTTCAGCTTCACATGTGAGATAAATATATCATAATTTATTAATCATAATATCAATAATTTACAAGAAACTGTTTTTATAATTCGGGAATAATAAATCAATTTGATAAACATCAATTTTGAAAGTTTTATTCGAGTTGAAGTTGGTATTTTAGTATGTTTTGGTCTAAAATTTGTGTAAAAAAGTTCAGAGACTAGTTGATCACGTAATAGTAGACTTACATGGAATAAATTTCAATTCAATCAGTCAATATAAAGCAATGTTTGAGATGATCTATCATTACATCTGAAAATCTATTGCACTTTAATAACAATATTGTGTTGACGTTGTCCAAAATATGATGAGCAAATTAATAGCTTCTTTGTTTTGAAGTGGAAATGGTTTGTTCATTCGTCCCAATTCAGGAGTCACCGAAATGAAAGATTAATGCACTTTCGAGGATTGATAGCAATGTCGCAGTACCAAAGTTTAGAATTGTTTGGACAGTAACAACAATTTGAAACTAAGTTTAGCTAAACCCATTGATTGGCTTCCATAGAATCCATTTTCATTCAATATAAACTAATATTTTGGATCAGCTATCATTAGAACTGAAAAAACTATTGAGTTCTAACATTACACTTTAATAACATTATTGTGCTGGCATTTTCTAAAATATACTGCAAATGAAAATTAAAAATTGGTTAGAGTATGAAAAAAGAAATGAGAATAATTGCTAAAATTTTCGCATAAATCAATAGTATTGATAGATATTAATTATTGCATAGAATTAAGAGCAGCGCAAATGAAGTTTGCATCTAACTGAATAAAGTTAATGATCGATCGTGATCTTCATGTTGAAAGGGGTTATTAATCAGTCTAGTTGCTCATATTGATATCAATTCAGCAATTCGAGTTTCTTTTTCTTCAATACTTACATAAACGAACAGTTCCCGAACAACAATGCAAAAGTCTCCAATTTTCGGTGCTGTATCGGGCCATTGCAATCGACAAATAATCTCGTCGACCTTTTAAAGAGTTAAAATAATTTTATGAAAAGTGCAACATTGGTTTGCAATGTTCATCTCCACAAGTCAACTTACTTTGAGTTTACTCTCCAATCTTGAGTTACTTCTTGGCATTATTTGTATGAGAAGACCGTGAATTTGGTTGAACTAAATTTATACGGAAAGAAGTGTTACTCTTAAGAGACTCTTTTCATGAAAGTTCAAAGATATTTACCATGTCGACAATCCCTCCAGCTGAATAAGAAACAATACCAATGATGGTCAATCCTATTAGTCCAATAGACATTAATAAATATTTCATTTCATCAGGTAATGGTGCTGCTATAGCCAAGAAGATAATTGAGTCTGCACAAAATGATATGATGACGAAAAGATAGAAGAAAATAAGTTTCAAAGAAGTAACGTTTGTGGTGAAATCATTGAGGAAATGGATTGCCATTCTATTAAATTCAATCAATTCTTTGGTTCTGATTCTTGGTGACTGCAGTAAGTCTTTGCACATTCCAATCAGCGTACTTATTCTGCCAACGTACCATGGAAATAGAATGATCAAATGACCTCCTGTGTTTAACAGGCCAGTCACTACAAAACGAGCAACTATTATTTCACTAACTGTCCAAAGTATAGTCATTTGAGCAAACAATTTGTCTTGAAAAACTTTAGGATGTTGCATTTTTAAAGTAATCAAAACTATTGGAGCAATAAGTTTTGAAAGTCTAATAAAGTTAGTCCAGTTTGTTGCAATAAAAATAAAAATCCGCTGAAATTTGAGATTCTCGGTTGGTGAAAGGTACAAAAGGTTTGGATTGAAGCCATTTCGTTGGATTGTTTTCAAGATCTGCAACTGCATAATGGCTCCTGATTCTTCCAAGTACAATGCGTATTCTCGGAGTAACGATAAAGTACACAAAATCAACTCTGCAAAAGCAATAAGAATAAAGCCAACTGATTTTTCTCCAATAGGATCGGCAAGAACTAAACTGACCAATTCATTGTCATAATAAACCAAAAGAACTGCTAGTCGAATGATGGTTACTACAATCACACATCGAACAAGGTTATTTTTCCAAGCATAACCTTCGTAACAAAAGTCTCGCATGTATTGTTCATAGCCTCGTTTGGTGACCAGCAAACCACGAGCAGTTGTTTCCATTGTATCGATCAATTGGTTGACATGTTGAGCAGCATCTGCATCATCAGGTAGACCCACAACACTCTTCAATCGCTTAATGGTCAACTTGGAACTCAAACGATGCATTGCTAAAAAACTTTGAAACTTGTAACGAACTGCAATAAACGAAAAATTAATAAAATTTCATTCTCCTTTTGCTGAGTGAAGTTATTCAACAAAGGCGAAGCTCAATCGTTCCACAGAATAATTTTACTGTTTGATTTATGATACCAACGTGATTTACATTAGCGTGTTCAGTGTTGATTTAAAATCAATTCTTAATCAACGTTGTGATTTCAATCAATCAAGTTAAGAGCTGATTTTCAACACGATCCTGTATTATAATAAAACAATGTATAATGTTTTCAATAACTTTACGCGTTTTCTCCACTTTTGTGTTTCACTTTCTTGGAAACAGGTTAAATCAAATGAGTTTTAATCAAATTGGGTTTTAATTTCGAAGCTTCTAGTTCTGTTTAACCGAAAATCAATTTGTAAAGACTGCAGATAGCTATTTTAAGTGAAGAGATCTACAAATCAATAAAAAATTTAATAGATCAATGTGATTAAGCTCTGGATTTTTCAATTTTGAATCAAATTAAATGATTGAAAAAGTCAAAACAATCAGAATCATTCATTAAGAACAGTGAATTTTTTTCGACAGATCGATATATTTCTAGAAACATATTAGAAAATAGAAACAATAGAAACGACTTTTGTTGAATGCTATTATAAAATGAATTTGGTATCGTCAAATAATGAAATGAAAAAAGAAAATATTGACCCTTAATTTTTACATCTCATGCAGATTTAAACTTACGGAGACCTCTCTTTAGCAAATTTCAACCAATTAACTAAACAATTTAGTAATGAAATCGACTTTTGATCGAATGCCACTTTTCCAAAATTTATTCCAAAAATTTGATGCATGCTATTCTACCGGATTAAATTTTTCGATCATTCAGTATTGATTTTATTAATTGCGATTTGATTGTGTACAACGGATTGCTAACTCTCTGCATTTTAAAGTTAATACTGGAAATTAAACCCCAATTGCTATTAATATTTAACTTCCTATTTGCTGCAGGTTCGATCTCCTAATATTTAGTTATAATTGCTATTATTTTAATACAAGAAAATTAAACTTACACACAAAGATATCACGAACCTTTAAAGAATTATTGTTTTGATGCAAAATTTTCATTGTTATTCAGAAAATAATGAAACTGAATGAGTTTGAATAATGAGTCTGAAAAAGCATTGTCAATGTAGACATTTAATGAAATGAAAAATCAAAAATTGATGAACTTATAGATTAATTGCAGTGACATGATTGTTTTTGTATGAAAACAATCGAGCTTAAGTTTTAAATTTTGTTGAAATTTTGATATTTTACTTCGCATATTGTTTGTATGTTTGCAATATGAATAAAAGTCATTCTTTCATTAAATTCAAATTCAAAGTTTTATGTATTTGAATTAGTGTTTAGAGACATAGTGCAATCATGATCAACCAGGCTTTTGTTAAAAATGTTTGCATCAAAACTGCCCTCTTCATCGTTGGTTTACCTAATGAAGATGATCACGAAGAGGAAACTATTGCTGCATTTTATCAATGGTGTCAACTTTCCATATTCTTTGGGTCAACAATGAACGGCTATAAACGTTATTCTTCTGCAACTACAAATGCAATCGCATCCTTTCATCGAAAAAATTTTTTGATTCGTTTTTGTAACATCATAAGCATCATTCGCCTGTTTATTTTGCTTCTCTATGATAACGAAGTCGTCTCGATTTTCGCCGGAGATCCTCTATTTCGCTCTAAACAACGCTTCCTTACGCTTTCCATAATATTCATTGGGTTGCTCACTGGATTCTTTGCTCGTGAAATTTTCATGTCACTCGAGGCAAAATCAAATGAAGAAATATATTTTTGTTTCGAATGTTTTCTTCAAACCAATGGTTTCAGTCATTTAAATCTACAAATGATTTCGTCTAGAGCTACTATTTATCGATATATTGTGCACTTTTTTTCCATTTTCTGGACGCGTTTTATGTGTTTATCTATTCCTTTCTTGACAATCTTATTGAACACGACAATTATTGTAAATCCATACTTTTACCAGATTCCATGTTATACCATTTCCAGCATATTTTGGTCCATTCCATTAACACTTGCTTGTGTATTTAACATTGTTGGTTTTGCTAGTATAAGCGGCTACTGTATAATATCTGGACTCTACTACCTGAATCGACTTGAGTCTATTTGTTCCATTGCTGTTCAATCAACTGAAAAAGACAGAGAAATTGAAGACAAGTTTGTAATCTCTTTAATTTTGAGGTTCATTGGTTATTCAAACGACGTTGATCACTTTCTCAATGTTTTAGCATTTCTTGTTTTGTATTATATTCTGGCAGTCTCTTTCATCGGTAATTTGCTCATTTTTGCTGGTTTCATAGCAAGACTTCATTCAGATATTATTGCCAACATGTGCAGTTTCCTTGGTGTCTTCATCATGGGTCTGTTAGCCATGGCATGCTACACTGAAGGATCATTCCTTACAAAAGTAACGAAAATATTTAATCAACAATCGTTAATATAAGATTGATTTTCTAACATAACTATTGCAAAATCATTATTATAATGTATTACTTGTATTTTACTTTTCAGCTTCATTTATTGTATGAAAAGCTTCATCTAATTAGCGAGTCGAGATTGAAAATGAAAACAAAGATGAAGGTAAATCATGCAAAGCATTGAAGGGAACAAAAACTATTTCAATTTCATTTCATTTAAGATATTGGAAGTTATGGACAGGATAATTGGACCTTACAATGGAGTAAAAGCAGGAGATTTGGCGACTATCTCAAAACATTTTTTCGTCATTGTGAGTACTGAAATGATCGAGTGACTCTTGATAAAAGACCTTAATATTAGTCTTATTTTAGTTTCTATTGGAAAACGCATCAACTTTAATGCTTATAACAGTCAACACAAGATCACTTTTGGAGTGAAATATTGGTAATCTCATAATACGAAAAATTACATCAATAATACGATCAATAATTTTCAATAAGAATCAATAATGGACGCTGATTGAATTAATTTTGTGTGGCTTGATTTTAAGCAATGGAAAGTGATAGAAATCCATACAAATTGGAACAATGCCTTTCATTAACTTCTATTCATTAGTCATTAAATGATGTTCTTGTAAATAAAAATTTGAAATCAAGGTTATTAATACATAAACTTCTTTTTATTGTTCTTTGTTAATATTTTCAATACAAATTCAAATTAGAAAATGGTCATCTACGATGAAATGGTCTAACGATACAAAGTTTCAATGAAATATGCAAACTTTTGATTATGTTTTTGAATGTATTCTATGATGATTTGCTCTTTCCGATGAAAGATAGAGAGTTTTAACGGATTGCTTGATTGTGTGACAGAGAAGATCAGTGCTTGGCAAAGAAGACAGAAATGCTTTAGCTTCATCCTAATTTATTTCCTCGAGATTTTGTAGATCGTCGGTCCATTTTCTTCTGACAATTTTGAATGTAAGAAGTCCTTTGAGTTTAATCTCTAACCTAAAATAACTTTCGGATTAGCGTATTGGTCCTGCCGATATACCAGGGAAATAAAATGATCAAGTACAATGCGTATTCTCGACGTAACGATAAAGTACACAAAATCAACTCTGCAAAAGCAATAAGAATAAAGCCAACTGATTTTTCTCCAATAGGATCGGCAAGAACTAAACTGACCAATTCATTGTCATAATAAACCGAAAGAAAGGCTAGTCGAATGATGGTTATTACAATCACACATCGAACAAGGTTATTTTTCCAAGTATAACCTTCGTAACAAAAGTCTCGCATTACTTGTTCATAGCCTCGTTTGGTGACCAGCAAACCACGAGCAGTTGTTTCCATTGTACCGATCAATTGGTTGACATGTCGAGCAACATCTTCATCGTCAGGTAGACGAGGCTCTTTAATTGGTTGATGTGGGTTAATTTTGGGTTCAATTGATGCATTTCTAACAAACTTTAAAGCTTTTAAAGAACTGTAATAAACGAAAAATTAATAGAATTTCATTCTCCTTTTGCTGAGTGAAAGTATTCAACAAAGGCGAAGCTCAATCGTTCCAAAGAAGAATTTTACTGCATGATTTATGATACTAACTTCATTCACATTAGCGTGTCAAGTATTGATTGGAAATCAATTTTCAATCAATTTTGTGATTTCAATATAAATCAAGTTAAGAGACGATTTTCAACACGTATCCTGTATTACTTATAAATATTGTATTATTATTATATAATGTTTCAATTACTTTACGCGTTTTCATCTCCTGTGTTTTACTTTCTTGTGAACAGGTTAGTGCAAATGAGTCTTCATCAAATTGGGCTTTAATTTAGAAGTTTCGAGTTCTGTTTCAAGTTTAACTGAAAATCAATTTGTAAAGGTTGTATGTAAATGCTTCAAGTAAAGAGATCTACGGATCAATAAATCACTATTGTGATCAAGGTGATTAAATTTCAGGTCGAAACAATCAGGATCATACCAGGTACATTAAAACAGAGAATGATTTTCAGCAGGTCGATAGATTCTAGAAACATTAGAAAATATAAATAATAGAAACGAATTTTGTTGAATGCTATTAAAAAAAATGAGTTTGTATTATCAAATCATGAAATGAGAAAAGTAAATATTGATCTGTAATTTATGCAGATTTAAAGTTAAAAATTTTAAAGAATTAACTGAACAATTTAACAATATTCGCATTCGACTTTTGATCAAATACCACTTTTCCGAGCTTTCTTCAAGCAAATTGAGGAAATAATGAAACTGGATGAGTTTGAATAATGAGCCTGAAAAAGCATTATCAATGTAGACATTTAATGAAATGGAAAATCAAAAATTGATGAACTTATAGATTAATTGCAGTGAAATGATTGTTTTTGTACGCAAAAAATCGAGCTTAAGTTTTAAATGTTAAAATTTTTGATGTTTTGCTTCGCATATTGTTTGTCTGAGTATTGTCAAGTGAATAAGAAGCCTTTTTTCATTCAATTCAAATTCATAGTTTTATTTTCCTTATTCATATTTTAATTAGTGGTTACAGAGCAATCATGATCAACTTGGCTTTTATTACACACGTTTTCATTAAAACTGTCCTCTTCATCTATGGTTTATCTAATGAAGAGCTAACTATTGCTTCAGGGTGTTGGCTTTTCTTATTCTTTGGGTCAACGATGAATGGCTATAAACGTTATTCTTCTGCAACTCCAAATGCAATCACTTCTTTTCACCCAAAAAATGTTTTGATTCGTTTTTCGCCACATCATAAGCATAACTCGCATGTTTTTCTTGCTTCTCCGTGAAACGAAGCTCGCGATTTTGATTTGATACTGATTTAAAAGTCTTGCTAGTTACGACTTGTGTCCATGTAACTAGACTGTTACCACAAAGTCTAAGGGTTTCAGTGTTTATCAATCAACTTAAGCTTCAGCAAAACTGTTCTTTACAATATTTAACTTATCATTTGCTGCAGGTTCGATCTCTCAATATTTAGCTACAACTGCTATTATTTCATTGCAAGAAAATTGCACCTTAACGAACCTTGAAATTGTTTTCATTCAAAAGTTCTTTGTTATGGAAATAATAATGCAACTGTTTGGTTCATATGATGAGTCTGAATAAGCATTCTCAATGTGCATCTAGACATTTAATGAAATCAGAAATCAGATATTGATCTTGTAGATTACTGGCAGTGGAATAATTGTTTTTCAATGAAATCAATTGAGCTTGAGTTTTAAATTTTGTTAAAAATTTTTGTTACTAGACTTATATTGTTTGTCTAAACATTGTCAAGTATTGACGGAAATAAATGCATAAACATTTCATTCAATTTAGATTAAAAGTTTTATTTCTCCTTATTAATATTTTAATAGATGGTTAGAGACATAGAGCAATCATGATCAACCTGGATTTTGTTAAAAATGAATTCACCAAAACTGTCCTCTTTATCGTTGGTTTACCTAATGAAGATGATCCTGGAGAGGAAACTATTCTCGCATTCAATCAATGGTGTCGACTTTCAAAACTGTTTGGGTCAACAATGAATGGCTATAAACGTTACTCTTCAGCTACTCCAAATACAATCTCTTCTTTTGACCGAAAAAATTTTTTGGTTCGTTTTTGTAACATTATAAGCATGATTCGCCTGCTCATTTTGCTTCTCAATGAAAACGAAGCCGTCTCGATATTCGCCGGAGATCCTGGCTTCCGTGTCAAACAACGAGTCCTTGGACTATCCATAGTATTCATTGGATTGGTCACTGGCTTTTTTTCTCGAGAAATTTTCTTGTCACTTGAAGCAAAATGTAGTGACGAAATATATTTTTGCTTCGAATGCTTTCTTCAAAGCAATGGTTTCAATCATTTAAATCTAGAAATGACTCCATCTCGAGCTACTAATCATCGATACATAGTACACTTTTTTTCCATTTTCTGGACGCGTTTCATGTGCTTTGTTATTCCTTTCTTGACAATCTTATTGAACACATCAATTCTTGTAAATCCATTCTTTTATCAGATTCCAATTTATGCTATTTTCAGCATCTTTTGGACCATTCCATTTACATTTGCTTTTGTTTATAATATTGTTGGTTTCGCCAGTATAAGTGGTTACGTTATAATGTCCGGACTCTACTACTTGAATCGTTTAAAGTCTATTTGTTCCATTGCTGTTCATACAACTAATAAGAGCAGAGAAATCGAAGATGAATTTGTTATTTCTTTGATTTTGCGGTTTATTGGCCATTCAAATGACGTTGAACATTTTCTCAATGTTTTAGCATTTCTTATTTTGTATTATATTCTGGCTATTTCTTTTCTCGCTGATTTGCTCATCTTCGCTGGTTTCATAGCAAGACTCCATTCAGATATCATTGCCAACATGTGCAGTTTCCTTGGTGTCTTCATCATGGGTCTTTTAGCCATGGCATGCTACACTGAAGGATCATTCCTTACAAAAGTAATGAAAATATTTAATCAACAATCGTTAATATAAGATTGATTCTTTAATATAACTATTGCTAATATTACTTATATTTTACTTTTCAGCTCCATTTAGTGTATGAAAAGCTCCATTTAATTAGCGAGTCGAGGTTTAAAATGAAAACAAAGATGAAGGTAAATCATGCAAAGCATTGAAGGGAACAAAAACTATTTCAATTTCATTTTATTTAAGATACTGGAAGTTATGGACAGAATAATTGGACCATACAATGGAGTAAAAGCAGGAGATTTGGCGACCATTTCTAAACATTTTTTCGTTATCGTGAGTATACAAACGATCAAATGACTCTTAATGTTAAGACCTCAATATCAAAGTCTTATTTTATTCATTAGTTTATATTGGAAAATGCATCAACTTTAATGCTTATAACAGTCAACACAAGATCACTCTTGGAGTGAAATATTGGTAATGGCATAGTATTAATAATACGAAAAATAATGGAAAGTGATAAAGTGAATAGAGAAATTTGATGAATGTCTTTCATTAACTTTAATTTATCAGTCATTGAATAATCATCTTGTAAATAAAAATATGAAATTAAGGTTAGATAAACTTCTTTTTATTGTTCTTTGTTAATATTTTCAATACAAATTCAAATTCGAAAATGGTCATCTATGATGAAATGGTCTAATGATACAAAGTTTCAATGAAATATGCAAACTTTTGATTGTGTTTTTGAATAAAATTTATGATAATTTGCTCTTTCCGATCAAACCAATGATTTTACTCAATAAAGAGTTTTAACGGATTGCTTGATTGTATGACAAAGAAGATCAATGCTCGGCAAAGAAGACAAAAATGATTTAGCTTCATCCCAATTAATTTCCTCGAGGTCTACAGATTTTTGCAATGGTTTTAAAGTACAAATGAAGTCAGGTTGTGTTGAAGCAAGTCGGGATATTTGAATTTGGCCCAATTTGATGAGCAAATTGATAGCGTCTTCTTTCAAAGGTGGAAATGGTTTGCACATCCGTACCAACGCAGGAGCCACCGGAATGAAAAATTGTTGCCGTTTTCCACTTTCAAGGATTGATAGTAATGTCGCAGTAACATTGAAACAAAGTTTAGCTATACACATTGATTTTACAATTGGGTATTGTTCAACCAAATAAGAACAAAGTTGAATCGCGAAAATCTAGTGGAAAAATAAAATGAAAATCAACATAGCATTAGATAAAGATTCAAAAAAATCTCAATAAATATACTAACCTGTTTATCTAAATCTGGTTGACTCAATAGTTCAGGGATAAATTCAAGACAGATATGCATCGATGGAATGGAGGACACAGTGAAAGGTAAGAGTTCACTTGGATAACCTTGGAAATGTACAAGTTTCACAAGATTTGGATCGGCAATGAAAACTTGATGTAAATGAACTCCAATCAATTTTTTTACTTCATCCAGTTTACTTTGATCACCATTTTTCTCTTCGTCATTCATGGGTAAACAACATTCTAATAATAACTGAATAGCAGTGCTTTCCTGTGCAGTAATAAGAGCAATACGCAGTTCTTCTCGGTCTTTTTCTTCCTCAGTGGTTTTGCTTGGCTTTTCTAATAAACGACGTGCGAAATGAGGTCGAGAAGCTATAAGGAAACACTGAAGGATATGTAGAGTTATTTCCATCAACACGGGACATCTAAACACTTTTACGTTGCACCTTAAAACATGCAAAGGGTCGAGAACTATATCATCCCATGTCAGTTTCTTTTCATGTCGTTGATTAGACAGAGCATTGACTGTCATAACACACAAATAGTCAGGAAATATACAATTGAGTTGCCACCAAACTTTTTTTGCCTTTTCAAGAGTTTCACTTGTCACTGATTCATTCAAAAGTAAAGGTAAACTATCGACAAATGTTGATGATAAAGGCCATAAATAATTGTTGGGTAGACTCAACATCCGATCAAGCGTTCTGGACAATGTTTCATTAGATTGTCCAATTGATTCGAAGGCTTTTTTTAAACGAGATTTCAGTTCACTGATGGATACATTCGTTTTGATCTGAATTTTACTTGTTGCATCTCGTTCTTCAGCAGCAAACCAATCTTGAACCAAACATAAATGTGGATAATGGGTAGAAATTAAGCGAAGAAGACGTGGAAATAAAACACCATAATTTTGTGGTTCATTCTTCGCTTTCTGCATTAGATGAAAAATGGGCAACTGAGAAAACAATTGAGGAGAATAAATTTTTACACTGCGGTTGAAAAATGTTAGATCTTTCATCATACTCAGACGAGTATCTTCATAGAGAAGCACGTAATAAAGTAGTATTAATTGAGTTGTCAATAAGCAAGTCGGTTGAATTTCTTCGACTACTTCCATCCGATTTTCAACGTTATCCTCAATAGAATATATCTTATGCTTAAAGATTGACAAAATTTCTTCCTCACTAATTGGTTCATTGGTTGCACTGGAAGTTTTAGTTGGTATTAGGACTGATTTAACATAAGCTTCAATGAGAGGTGGGATAACAGGATTAAGAGGAACAGTACAATTACAGGTTTGACGATAAAGCCAATCTTTGATGGGCACCTTTCAAGAAAAAAAGCAGAATTAAGACAATTAATTAATAATCAAGAAATCGATATGCAAAAGATCTAATTTTTTACCTCATATTTAGTGAAAGCACGAGTTTTCAAAAGTTGGAAAATACAATGAACAGGCAAAAATCCAGGTAAACACGAATTCAAGTTAGTGGTAACTGGAACTTTCACTGCATGAGCAGTGATCATTTGATTAGTGAAAACTTCATGAGTAAACATTGTTTTCAAACGACTGAGAGTAGTATTCCTAAGAGTCAATTTGATATCTAAAGTTGAACTGACTAATTCAGAAATAGCGGTTATCTGATTACCATGAAAATGAATGGCGATAAGAAGTAACATTTCTCCAAAAGATGATCTTACGCCAGATACTTGGCCAAAAAGACTTTCTTCTTTGACTAGCCAATTTAGCCATTCAAGAGTTCTCTTTTCAGCCTCTGTGTTTGTCATGACTGAGGGACAAGCTAATAGAAGACACAAAGCTGTTGATGCAAATCTTATTCCGGAAGGATTCGCGGCTGGATGTTGAGTTATCACATTTAACAATATAGCAGATTCTTCATCAGTAAATTTCATTCCAGCAATTCCACGCAGTGCACAATAAAGTCTGAGTATCGCTGAAGCTTCGACTAAATATAAAGATAGATTGCCTCCTTCTTCTTCATTCTTTTGGAGCACAAACTTCAAACAACCAAGCAATTCGGCTCTTAATTGCGTTAGACTAGTTGTAGATCCTTGGTCCATTTTCTTCTGGCAATTTCGAATGTAAGAAACAAACCAAGTTCGAATTTTTTCATCATTTCTGAAGAATAAACCACTCAAAAAAGAAATCAAATCATTGATTTGAACAAGTCGCACTTTGTTTGAAATGTTTTGGGAACAACCAATACTATCCAATGTTAAAAAGATGCACAAAGCTGGCATTCGCAAAGACTCAAGTGCTTCAGTGCGAATCAGAAGAGCGTGAGATGGATTAATTTTACATAGAATACGGAGAACATCAATTCTACGTTCCCCGATAAGATTTTCTTCCTCTTGCTTATCTCCATTCATAAGTAAAGCGGAACATATTTCCGAAAACATTCCAGGAAAATTTACTACAAGCCTCCAGATGATATGATGGCCTCTTTTGAAATATAATAATGTTTCAATAACATCCATTAAACAAATTGAGTTGTGTAGCTCTGCAATAGCTATGACCAAGGCATCAGTTATTTCATCGATGTATATTTCATTATCAAATAGCTCTGAATATTTGTGATTTGAAGATGGATATTTTGCTTGAGCTAGATAACATTTGATGCTCATCTGCGATGCCAATAGTTCGTTCAGAACTAATTTTAATCTTTTCAGTCCTCCGCTTTTTTCAAAATCTACATTTGGTGAAAAGAAGAAAAATTTAGTAAAGACGAGAAGAATGATAAAATTCATTGATATAAGAAAACTCACCTAACACTATGTTTCCAGTTGTACTCTGGGATTCCTCACTTGAAATAAGGTTGGCCCTCAGCTGTTGCTCCTTTTTCACATAAACTTCGAGTGAATGGAAATCTACTGAAAGTAAAGAGACAATCATATTTGCAGCTTCGTGGTTGTACAGAATCTCCATTATTCTCTTTCTCTGATAACTCCAAAATTGCGATTCATCAAGCGACCGGCAAAGAGCTATCCTCAGAAGGCTTGGCAGCAATGGGCGAATCTCATGTTCACTTAACGAGCTGATCAGATCAATGTTCATAGAACTGATTGCTTCAAATACTGTAGGAGAAGTCATTGTTGACCAATTTTAATTAGAGATGCGTTGGTTATTCACAAGTGATGAAAGCTAAATGGCCAGCAATAGGATCGGATCCTAGACCTGATACTTATAATCAACAGACATATTGTTTACAAAAATTTGTTGTATTAATAAGATCTATCTGGATACAGTTGAGTCAATGGATTTAATGGGCCAAAGTTTCTTAAAAATGGAAAATTTGTCACTTATAAAATCAAACTTTGATAGAACAGAGTCAATCTTTTAAAAGTCACAATGTACCAAAATTATTGAGCCAAGACGTTGATGGTGCTAACAAAATAACTAGTTTAATTTGTATAAGACTTAGCAGTCAAATACTATTGACAAATTGTCTTAAAAGACTAAAAACAATCAAGTAAATAGCCAGAAATTTATGGTCATTTACTATATAACATGTACTCTTTTCGGTAAGCCCTATTCGTACAAAAAAATATCTGATAAGATTCTGATCTTTGGATATGGAGTAGACTTTTATTTGCCTTAAAAGTACGGCGCGTTTGTTTAAACTCTATGGAATAGTGTCAAAAACTTGATTATTTAGGTTAAGATATGAGAAATTGTTGATTAGTAGGGACATAATTATCACATTTATGCACAAAAATTACAAAAATGGGCAATAACGGGTAAAAATTAGTTTCTTTCAAATTTAGACTCTATTGGGTTGTAGAGACATAAAAAATGACCTATCAAGCTTTGAACTATCTAACCTGGCCGAATTTAAGATTAATTAAACCTACTCTTTAACCACTGGACTGACAGTGGTACAAAAAAAAAGAATTAAACAATTAAATAATATCAGTTGCTATTTTCAATATGAAAAGAAATATGAGAATGAATGAGCGTCAAATACCAGTAAGAAAATGTCATAGATTGTGGAAGGTTAAACTGCAAATCGAACTGATCTAATGTCCAAAAACAGAAAATTTAGCCTTTTTAATTAACCTAAATGGTTTGAATTTCACAAGAGATGGCGTTGAAATTCGCATTTGTACGAATAGTCCCAACGCCTATTCGTACAAGTTTTTTGTACGAATAGGCTTTTCCACTCTTTTCCATTGAAAACAATTCCTCTCGCTACTGGATATGTGTGATTATATCGATACTCATCGATAATTCGAGCGATTAATCGGAACCAAAAAAATTTTTTAAATGGATTGAAAAGATTGTCAATAAAGTTTTGATTCTCCACATAAAATTGATTAAGTAAAATAATTTTTATTATATTAATTATACGTTTCAGTGTTTTATTAGTACAAAATATTTTAAACTTCTGATCTTTGTGTTGAGTTTTCTGCTTGTTGAACATCGTATGTTGGTATTCTTGACTCCACGACTTCAATTGTTTGTTCATTGTTTTTATTTTCGGTTTTGGGTTTTACTCCACCGGCAAACAGTTTGGTTACTAAATTGGAAAAAGGACTTTCTACTAATATCCTCGACACAAATGAAAACAAATAAATAAGGAAAAAGTATGGAAATTGATCGAGATACATAAATTTGAATACAGATGTTTCCATTGGAACTGTAGCAATTGCGTTTCTAAGTCTGACGAAAATTAAATTCAAACAAAGAATTGACAAACTTATTCGTGAAGCAATCAAGAGGATTCTAGCACACAATATTTGATCTATTATCTTATAAGCGTGTCCCTCTTTAATTGTATAAATTAACCAAGCAATCATTGAACTCCATAAGCTTTTAGAAATGCTTCCATAAACAAAAGAGGCCCACCAAAATATTTGAGATTCGTAATTGGTATAGTTGAAGAAGAAAAGATGGACAGCCCAACCGCCAAACCATAAACACCAACCACAGTTCACTTTAAACTGAAAGGTAAGAGAATTATTTTGAAAAAAATTAGTGATGTTTCATTTTCTTTTAACCAATTTGATTTGACTTACTCGTGTCATTTTCTTTCCTTGTCCATTCAAACAGAAACCAAGAAGAACACCAATAAAGTACGGAGCCAAATGAGCAACTGGTTTTAAATGGAATCGGAAATTGTACAGAACAGTATCTTCATTGATGAAATCGCTTATCCTCCAGAAGTGCCTTAAATCAAAAATATAAAGGCTAATTCCTGAGAAAAATATCCCGAAAACAATTAGAAGCCAAGTGCAGAATAAAGCCTGGCATTTACGACCACGCGAAATCGGAATCCAAACAATTGTTAAAAATATGGTGCAAATTAAATCTACCGAGAGATACCAATCAGTTACTAAACACCCATGTGATCCAGAAAGATCTGGTTTCCAATCAAACCAAATTTGAATCAAGAGTAGATTTGGAAGCCAATTGTTGACACATTTATCCATATTGGATGATTTTGGATGATACCAATTAGGTCCACCAAGTTCATTTTTTATCCAATCATTCAGCAATAAATAAGCCCAGGATAAAGCCCAGATAAGTGAAGGAAGAAATCTGAGATAACGTCCAAGAAGAACCATAAGCATGGTTACTTTTTTGCGTTTCTGTATGAAAAGAGACATGCTTAGCCCAGTTACCATAAAAAAGGTATCAACTGCCAGAGGGAAAAAATATGCGGGAATGAATCCAAGACTAGGTAAAATTGTTATTGACTGATAAAAGCGAGCTGTATTTTCATCGATCGTTCCCAAAAGTGCATGTGAAACAACTATCATTAACATTGAAATAGCTTTGATACCATGAAGACAAGTTAAAGACGAAGATGATTCACTTTCACTGGGTTTGGAGACAAGTTTAGCATAATTGGTTGCCATATTAAAATCTTGTAAAGATGGCATATTGGTTAAAGTGCCCAAAAGATTGAGAACGATTACCGTTATAACAATGAAGCCTCCAACGTAAACGTGAATTGGTAAATCAAGCGGCACCTTTTTGGCATCGCAGTGTTGAACTTTTACTTGCAATCCAGTTTTGTATTGTTTCGAGAGTTGAGATGCAATAGACTCTATTTCAATGGATGAACATCCTCGAGGTAAACACACACCATAAGTGTAATTTACTAAGTGATGGAAGTGTAAATAATCGGCAACATGGAATTTGAAAGGTTCCGTAGAGAAATTAAATCTTTCGCTGTCTAATTTTCTGGTGAAACCTTCATATTTTCGTCGCTTTGGTAAGCCAAGGCTCATTGAAAGAAGACAATATTGACTTGTAACCATTTGATAACATTGCTCATATGAACCATAAGAGAAGAATGTTCCACTCATTAAAGCAACAGGTCGAGTTCCAGTTGAATCCAATCCTTGAAAATAAATAAGCGTCAAAAGCATGAAAATCAAATAAGCAACCAATGTGCTCAATTATTTATGGGAAAACTGCTAATACATACTGTAAGCTGGACATTAATCTCAGCAAACTAAAAAGAGCCGACTGATCTTTAAAATGGTTAACATGATTAACATCAATGATTTGACTTTAAAATGATTATTTTATGACTATAAATTGAAGGGCCTCAAACTAGTCAATTGTTTGTAATCAATCCATAATGCATCAAAACTTCAATCAGATCAACACCAAGAAAGATTTATCTAAACCATATCGATAAGATCGATTGTTAAAACAAATGCTAACCGTTCAGTTTTAGTGGCAACTTGTATATTGATAATAATTATAATTATCCTGCTTCTTCGTTTCTTCATTCAAAAATTGAAAATAAAATCAGGTTAAAATGACCTTTATTACGTTTGTTATTCGTTTCGTTATATTTATCTGATGGTTTTGAAATTATCATGTTGATGAATTATTAATATAACCAGATCAAAGTAAGAGGCGAACAAATCAGATTGATTTAGTTAAATGTTCATCCGAAACTAATAAACATTGTTTCATTTTCACACTACCACTTGGAGGTTGATCACAAAAATGGATTATAATGATTACTTACGCTGTAAAGCTTCAGTTTTAAATTGTTTTAAATCCTCAACATAATTGGTCAATGAAGATGAACATTTGACGGACACATTAGTAGACATTAAAACATGTTGGAATGGCTTTTCAAACTCATTGGCTAAATTGGTAACCCAGTTGTGAGAAAAAGATTCAAACATTGACCAAGATTGAAGATATTGTTCATTATTTGACTCCAACAATTTATTTCCATCTTCACCATTGACTGAAAGTATATTAACAATCAATGAACAAACTAATACAATTGAAAACATGGTTGAACAATGAAAAAATAAGCCAGTTATTATTGAAGCACAAAATTCACATATGATTTAAATAACCACAAATCATAACGAAAGATTGAAATATCTGTTTACGTGATTAAGCTGGGGTTTTTGACTGAATATGATTATATTGTCCGTAACTGACACATTAACGTTAAATTGTTGTTGATAAAATATTGATTGAAACAAAATTGTAATTCGATGGCGAAGGGAAAGATGATTGAAAAAAAGAGAGTCAAGAGAGAGTTATAAGTTACTTGACAAGGATTTTTGGTTAAAATTGAATTTCATTCTTGGATCCTTCGAAAATTAATCTTAATTTCCCTTGATGATTTACCTTCATCGTGTTATGAAACAAGAAAAAAAAGTAAATATCTTATTTAATTGGAATGATAACGTTCAGCAAAAAGGTAAATTAACTTATCGTAATTTTATTGTTCAAGGTTTTTATTAGCATAAAATATTAAAGTACATAACTCTTATATAACTTGATATAAAATTTTCATTTTAACCCCAAATTATAGTCAATCAATCAACCATTAGATTCATATTGAGTATTGCAAGATTGAGATGAAATTGAGTTTATTGTCTCTTGTCATCCTGATACACCAATAATAGGACATTTTATGTTAACTGATGGTTGAACCTCTTGATGAAGTAGCATGTTTCACTGATTAATTTACAATAATTTGAAACCGTCGAGTTATTGAGCTGCAACCACTGAGGCTAGTGTTGATGGATGCTGACCAGGAAAGAGTTCAGCCAAATGTTGGGTTTAAACATTGACTTGGAAATGAAAATTGTAATTTACTGGTTATTCCGTATTTAGTTAACCACGATTAGATGATAAATTCATTGTTAGACCAATCTTGTCAACAAGCTTGTTGCTCAGTAAAGTTGATTGATCAAATATTAAAACGGTTTGCTTCAGGCAATTACTGTGAACGTCAAATTAAAGATTGCTTCGTTTTCCTTTAATTAGTAATCCTTGATTTCTCCAGAAATCCTGTAATTGAAGAAGTAAAAAATTAAGCAAAATACAGTAATATGTTGAGATGCAGATTAAAGAGGCAAAGGTCATTGGACAGGCAACAGAAAGATCAGTTTATGGATGAGATTAGAGTTTAGGAAATCAAGATGATCCATCATCACTTTGAGTAATTTTTTTGACAATTAATGATGTTCATTGAAATGTAAATGAAAAGTAAATGATATTATGATATTAGACAAAATTAAAAAAAAGATATTTCTGTTGTCTCTTGATGATGCCTTTCAACTTTACTTGTTTTACCTTGTTAAGGTTATAGTCAAAAACTGTGTTGACCAGGTGAGGTGGTACCTCATCTTGATAGGTTGACCCTGAAGTTATTTCAATATAATCACAGTCTGAAGATGCATATCTGCATGAAATAGCAATCAATTGTCCATCAGAGTGTTTCTCTTGATTATTCAGTTTAACCGTATAAGCCAACAAAGGATGGTAAAATAAAGCATCGCCAGGTTTTAAGGTAATCTTTCGTATCTCTTTACTGCTTGCTTCATCCTTAATCCGTTGTACTTCAGGTATTCTTTCATAAAACATTCGCACCTTGTTACCTTCATCATCCGAATAAATAGTTTCAAGATAGCCTGTTCGATGACTTCCGGGTATGACCATGTATTGAACAGAGTTGCTTTGAGAAGCGTCCATTTCAATACCACAAGATTCAAGGGCTATCCAAACACTAACAATACGATCAGCAGGACGGAAAGGTAAGCAATGAAGATCTCGCTGGAAACAATTTGATTGTAAATCCGAATAAATATAGTCGTAAATGGGTGAACAAGTCATAGCCATTAAATTGTTGCCACAAAATGCTGATGCATAACGGGAAATCTGAAAGTAATCAAAGAAACCAGATTAGTATTTGATTTTCATAATAAGGGTAAAAATGATTTTACACATTTTGTAGTCTTGCTATCTACCAAGCTTGGTTGAAACGGATTAACATTGAAAACAGTTGCTTGATTTACTTTTCATTTGTTCAGACTTTTACAACCAAAATCCAACCTAATTATTGACAATTGAGGATGAATATTTAAAATTGTAAATGAAGATAAATAATTGTTGCAAATTTATCCTACAATTATTAAACAGCTATCTTTGACTAGTCATTTACAAATGACAAAATTAACTCAAGTTGATCTTGAACTGTTTGCCGTTTAATCCGTTCCAGTCCAAATGCAATGATCCTCTAAGACTTGTATAAGTGAATCTGAGGAAAGAGGGAAAAGGTAATGAGAAAGGTTGATCAGGCAATAAAAAACTTTGTCCCTCCAAATGAAAAGGGCTTGAATAATTAAATGGATTGACTGGAAAATATTGAAAACAAAATAAGATGATGACAATAACAATGCAGAGTGGTTAACGTAAAGGCAAAGTGGTATAAGAGCAACTCAAAGACTGTTTGCCTGCTGAAAGTGACAATCGATTGGATGCTCGATCGAGCGATAACCTTTTATGAATGTTTCGTTTGCCCTGATTATCATTCAATCTCACCCTTTTTCGCCTAAATTGCTTCTCTACTTTTCCTGATTACCAGCTTTGAGACGACAAGTTAAACCATTGAACCAGAAAACAACAACACGAAATTAATTTAAACTGAACATCTAGAGGAAAAATGATCTGATTCAACCTGTTGAAAAACTGAATGGAAAATTACTCGGACAGTGGGATAATATACATTTTAAAATACAGTTTCATGTAATTCATGATGTCAATTAAAACTAGAAATATTCCACAAGGTTAGCTTGATTCAACTTGATATTTGCAAGACTCGCTATAAACTGATCCAGACTGACACTGTAAATGAAGGTAAATGGCTTTAAAGCAACCTTGCATTGATTTTAAACTAGAATCAAGTAATCACATTAAATGGCTAATTCTGTACTCCAATCTGATAAAGAGTTTTGATTGAAACTTTCATTTCCCAAATTGACATTGCATTTGGACCAAGCTTCATATGGACTTGTTCAACACGTTTAAAATGTAACCAGTTCCAGGAGAAGGTTGCTAATTTATTGATTGCTGGCAGAAGACTAATATTGTAGAGTAATTGTAAATGTTCATAATCGGGTCCACAACTTACTCGAGGTGAGCTAATTAATGCTTTTAGGGTTTCATTTGTTAAAGCCGAGTTTATTGATGGCTCCGATGACCTGGCTTTACTTTCCAGGTTGCTCACAATCTTGCCTATCATATTGGCGGGGATTAAATTTTTTACAATCAGGAATCCATTGTCTTCATAAAAATCTCTTTCCCGCACATTCAACATGTAATAGCTTCCTGGCCTTGGTTCAGCTGTGTAACGATACTTTTTTGGCCAATAAACCTTTGGGTCAATCTATCAATAAAGAGAAGGAAAAAAATATGAATAATTAAAAAAACTGGTATCAAGTTGTTAAATTCAATTGTTGTGAAAGGTCAAATTTCAGGATGATTAGTTAATTTCAAATGTTCCGTAAAGTAAAAATGATAAATAATCATAATAATGGTGAAAAAATTTAACTCAGACAAGCTAATAACAGTTGACCTTTATGGTTCCATCCAGACAAAACAAAAAGTCAGACCAGTTTGAGAAAAAGGAAAGTTTTGGTCAAAAAAAGGTCTCAAATAAGGAACAATAGATTGATTATTAAGAAATAGAAAAATGGGAAACTTGAATATGGACATAGAATCAGAATACGGGGAATTCTGAGTCTACCATGTCTTGTGCCTTGAAGATGTTTAAGGCAAAAGGAATCAAAAGAAAAAACAAATTAGCGGAAACCCTGAAATATCGCGTAAACGGAATACGAATTACCTTTAAGCTGAGCTTGACTACAGTGTAAATTTATCACTACATGTTGATTTATTTGGACATTTAGACCCAGTAAAAGCAAATAATAATTAATAATCGACTAACCTGAAGCACGTCCAACCAATTTGCTGGTTTTTTCTTGCTCTTTGTTTGCTCTTGATCATCTGTTGCTGAGCCTGTGTCATGTTTTGATTGGGTTAGTGTTGTTGCTGTTGTGGTTAATGATGATTGGGGCGATTTAAAAGATCCATCAAATCCAATTCTTGTTTCATCATTGCCATTGTTGTAGATAAGTCGAGCTCTTTCAATAGAAGAAACAGATTTCGTCGAGTCAAAACTATTGTTTCCTCGGTCAAACTGATTTGCAGCAATATCAGAAGACATTTTCAATTTTAAAAAATGATTCTGGATTCACAATAAAACAAAAATAACTGTTACAACAGTCGATGAAAAAGTACACAAAATAAAAGGAAAGTTTAAAGTGTAAGTAGCTTGAACTACACTTGAAAAGAGTGGCTCATTTGTTGATTGAAACACCGTTGTCTATACCATCAACAAGTTGTTGATCATGTTTCTTTTGCTTTTCACTCCTACTTTATATCATTAAAAGTGTTACCCAAACTGCTACCGTTAAGTGATCAAAACTCAACTTAATCACATTGAATCCTTTTTTAAATCCAGTCCAATAAGGCGATTCATACTAGGTGTTCAAACGGGTAGGTCAAAAAGTAAACGGTTATATCTTTAGAACGGATTTGTTTATTGATCTGAAAATTTGTATTTAAATAGATTTTCATCAGGAATTAACGATATGTATGCTCGAAATACCTTCACCTTTTTACAATTAACGCTATCAGACGATTTTCAAAAATACAGCTGTAAATTTTTGACAAGTTTCCATTGAAATGTTATAATCCCATTATAAACTGCTTTTTCGAGTCGGGTGAGCGCTTTTGAGTCGCTTCTAAATACTCTGTCTTTTAGACATTCTCAAATTCCTTGTGAAGCTTATTAATATAAAATTAAAATGACCGCGATCGTGTACCTATTTCTCGAGATATAAAGCCCTAAAGTTTAACCTACCCGTTTGAACATCTCGTATGTGCATAATAAAGAAATGCATGATATTTTTGTGTGAAAATTGCGACTAGAACATAAAGATGAATGTCAAGATTGAACTACACTCACGAAGGATAGTAAGAATTGGCTAAATATTAACTTACTTTTAATTCCAATCCATGTCTGAATTGTTGCCCTTCGCCATATTGATAAAAATTATTGGAAATCGGATTACGGTGACATTATTAACCTTCTAATGACTATTATAAAGTCGTTTTTTGATTCTGTCATGTTATTTCAATGTAAGAAATACGAAGGCTTTTTTGTCTTTCATGTTATGTTGTGTTTTGATTTTTAGCTCTTTACAGTAGCATGAATGATCTCCGAATCCGCCATTACCATTTTATGGCTAAATGTAAAATTGTCGATTAGATTCTGTTGAAATTTCACCTTTTTGCTCATCTTTCAAGATGTTTTGATTTCATTTTGGTATGATTATTCAATGTACTCGAAGGATAATATTTTAAAGTTATCCTCTTTATGAATTTTGCTTTTTTATAAATAGACTGTAAATGTTGAGAAGATATCAATACACTATTATCAATTTGATGGGAGATTTTCAATAATTAATGTTAAAGTAATTAATGTTGAGGAAAAGTTGCTCTGTTTTGTATTACATTTTGTAATATTAACAGTAAATGTTGAAAAAATGATCGTTTGTTTTTAAACAATTTATATTAAGCGCTTTGTATTTGACATACAATTTTGGTCGAACAGCGTCATCTTTAGGTATTTTTTTCAGATAAATATTTTGTTTGATTAGGCAATGTTTTGGTTTAAATAGCTTAAATGTTTAACAGTTAATTATTTTTGAATATACTTTGTCTTCTATGATTGAATTGATTAATCATGTCAACTAATGAACAGACTGTAAGAAGTTATGGCGATGCTGGGAGTACTTTTAATGATGATGAAAAGGTTGAACAATTCACTACAAAAGATATCGATATTGACAGAAAACTTACATTGGAAGAAGATCCTGTAAATAAAATAGAGGTACAGGTTAGAGGTAAGTGACAACTCGAATTTAATCGACTTAAGATTTGCTATTTGCTCTTTTCAATTTGTTCATTTTATTTTTTTGTTAGGTCCTGATGAAAATGTTGATGGCACCCAACAGCAGGAACGAAACAACATTCAGTACCTAAATTATCAATCCGAGTTACAGATGCCGCATATAATGCAGTTGATTCAAAAAGATTTGTCTGAACCTTATTCAATCTACACATACCGTTACTTTATTCACAATTGGCCGCAATTATGTTTTCTGGTAAGTGATTTGAATCATTAATTAAGATAGTTAAACCAAGATAAATCAAACAGTTTATCCTTTTAATTTTTCAGGCTGTTCTTAAAGATAAAGTTGTTGGTGCAATTGTTTGCAAACTGGATCTTCATAAAAAATCAGTTCGACGTGGTTATATTGCTATGTTAGCAGTAGACGAAAATTATAGAAACAGAAGAATCGGATCTGGATTGGTTTCATTGGCTATTGAAGCAATGTCGTTAGATGAAGCAGATGAAGTAGTTCTGGAAACAGAAATAACTAACAAGCCGGCTCTTAATCTTTATGAAAATTTAGGATTTGTACGTGATAAGAGGCTATTCAGATATTATTTGAATGGAGTTGATGCCCTTAGATTAAAACTATGGTTGAAATAGATCAAATAAACAGTGATGATTCTCTACTATTAAGAAACTATTTTCACAAGTTGAATTATTTTTACGCATTCGTTGCCGAGAGAAATCACTGGAATGATATTTTATGATGGAGGACCTACTGTTAAATGTGATAACACAACCAACTGTTAATTCGTCAGTGAATAAGATTTACATCAACAGCTTTACTAGCACCAATCTTCTATTAGCTTGTCCCTCAGTGATGATGAACACAAAGGCTGAAAAGAGAACTGTTTGCTGGTTAAATTGGCTAGTCAAAGAAGGAAGTCTTTTTGGGCAATTATCTGGTTATAGATCATCTTTTGGATAAGTGTTACTTCTCATCACTATTCATTTTCATGGCACTCAGATAATAGCTTTTTCCGAATCAGTCAACATCAGATAATATCCTTCCAAATAAAATCGTCCAAAGAATAATTTTAAACAATCATAATCCTAAATGGTGATAAATTTTGTTGAAAATATTCTTATAAAAAGTCACATTGTAATTATGAAAAGATTTTAATTTGTCAATGTCGATTTGATGTTTTGTAGACCAAACTGAAACTTAACATGCATTTACACACAAGATTTAGAATACTAAAAATTATTTTATTTATTTAACAAATCATTTTCATAATCCCGACAATCTCTTTTTTCAGTATATTTAACATTTTTCTTTTGAGTTTTCAAAATCAACTTTCTAGGTTCGATAATATTACGTTTTTGTAAACTTTTCAATCTATCTTCAAACAAATCACCTTCAGTTTTTACCAATCTTAGTCGATCCGCAAGTTCTCCAGGTAGGCTCACAGGTATATCTGGATCTTCGTATTTATGTGGACCTAAACGAGCTGGTTTACAAAGTTTCTCTTCAAATTTTTTCTGATGAATTTCCATGTTTTTCTTATGCTTTTCTTCACCAGCAGCAATTTCTTTCTTGATTCTCTTTAGTTGATAGATTTTATTTTCTTTCTTCTTTTTCTCTTTCTCTTCCCTAATTGCCTTTTCTCGCATTTTAGCAAGCATTTCTCTTCGTCTTTTAGATTTTGATTTACGGTCTTCGGCTCTAATTACTTTTTTGGGATTGGCAAGATCAGGATCTTCAGCAACAATTTCATCGTCATCTTTTTCTTGATCATCCTCATTTGCGACTGGCAGTCCTGCAGACATCTCTTCAAGCCATTCTTTTTGCATTTGAGACTGAGTTTTTTTGGTAACACCACCATGGAGTAATCTTTGAATCTTTTCGTCCTTCTTCAACTTTTTCAATTCAACTTCAGCAGCTTTTTTGATAAGATCTTGATGATCTTCAATAGCTGGATTTATCGAAGTTCCTGGGTGAGGTAACTCCAAAGCTGGTAAAACTGATTTAAGTTTAAGTCTTGTCTTTCTTTCCGCTTTTGTCGGTGTTCCAGACCAAATATCTCCAACTTTCAAATCAGTCCATTTTTCCTTCTTTTTCTTTATTGATTTGCCGTATGTCTTGGGTTTTACTTTTTTTTCCGGCTGAGCAGGGTTTTTGAATACAACCACAGGAGGAACTCTAGATGATGGAACTAATGATTTATATGCTTTGATATTCTTCGCTAAATCCTTGGTTTGCTTAAGCTTTTTAAGAACTTTTCCTTTTTTCACTCCATTTAAAACAGGTTCGATTTCTGCTTCTTTATCAATTTTAAAAGCAGGTTCATCTAGAGGTTGCCTGTTGAGAAAAATAAAATAAATTAGAAAATGAAAAGACAAAAACAATCTAATAAGTCAAAACTTACCCAACTCTTTCTTTCAGACGAACATCTTCATAAAATGTATCAATTTCATCTATATTAACTTTTTTCCAGCCTTTTCGTCGGCTTTTGGCAAATTTTGGTTTTTTGGAAGCAACCATGTTGAAAACACGTGGAATGGGGTAGGCCTCAGAAACAACTTGAAACAAGTAGAGTAGATATTGAAGGGTAAACGTTATTTTACCCTCTTTTTAGATGTTGGATGGATCCACAGTTAACGAGGAACAATCTGGGATAGAATAATAGATAGACAATAGATAATTAATCATTCAATTAATTAAAATTCTGACGATAATTATCACAGATTGAACTTCACAGCGTAAACCAAACATATGATAGTTTTAAACTGCCATCTATTAGAGTTTTGCTGGACTGCAACGTAAACACAGAAACAGTGATGAAAGCAAGCATTACTTATCAAATTTTGTTAACATTGTTAAGCGTGAAGTGCAATTTGTTGATTATCGCTTCCACCTGTGATTTAAAACTAGTTGATTTAAGATGTTTGATTGTTTTTTATTCAATTCTGTATTAATGTAACAATTAAGTTGCAATTCGCATAACTCAAATACCTACAAATTGGAGTGATGGCTAATTGAAGAAAACGCCATTATTAAAGTAATTAAGGTATGGTTGTATAATTTTATTTCAATTACAGGTATCACCCATTTTAAGAAAAATTGTAGATGTTCAATATTTTGTATATAAAACTGAAACTAACATTTCAATCAATCACGCATTTAAAAGTACTGCTAGTTACTTTTAATAGTGTAAAATATCTGACATTTTATACCTACCGTTCGCTTGACCTTAATATGGGTTAACCAGTTGTTTCTATTGTTTCTCAAATTGATGTCTAATCAATGTATACAGATTATAAATTGTTCTAATCCATTTTTTTTCTTTTCACAGCATTTTTTACTTATCTTTTAAATTCCTGATCTCACCTGATTCATCGTAACGACATGAGGGAATCAAAGGTAGCCTCTGAAATTCATAAAGAGACTCCGGCTTCTGAAGATTTATTATCTTGGTGTATCAACATAACCAATGAAATTTATGGGTTGAATGTTGCTGACTTGACAACATCATGGAAAAATGGAATGGCTTTTTGTGCATTGATCCACAATTTCCGCCCTGATTTGATTGATTACTATAAACTCAACCCAGAGGATAGTAAAACTAATTTAAAAACAGCTTTCGACGCTATCAGAAGACTTGGTATTCCAAATATAATGAACTCAGAAGATTTAATGATTCTCGACATTCCAGACAAGCTATCCGTTATGACAATCTTACATCAAATTCGAGCTTATTTTATGCGCAAAGAAAGAAAAGGTAGAGGTCTCATGTGGGACTGTGACGACATGTTCGATGATTTTGACAGTGATGGTGAAAGTAGCTCGCTATTTGCATCTATCGATCAGCAACTAATGGACTGGCCTAGTAAAAAAGTCAACAACCTCGCTCCTTTAGTTCCTCTTACAAGCCAATTCTTGCTGGATGGAGATAACAGGGTAAAAACAAACGAACATCTAAAACTTTTAGAAAAAATTAATCAGCCGCCAAATCAGTCTTCACGACTATCCATTGACAGCTCAAAATCAGGCGAACAGTTGAATGGACTCAGTCCAGCCATTAAACCTGGTTCTGATAAGAAGCAAAATACGTTTTCCCAGTCGTCACGGTCTATAAATTTAAAATCGGAATCATTTGAATCATCTAAATTAAATACTCAATCATCAAATGATACTCCTCAAAAAGGGAAGAAACAATTGATGACTCGTAAACAGTTGATGAATCCATTCGATTCTGATAGTGATGAGGAAAAAAAGCCCAAAGGAAAATTATGTAAGTTTAACAGGTTCGATCTTTTCTTGCTATTTCATGATAAAACTAATCTCTTTCATCTGCCTTTTTGCTTATAGCTCATAGACGAGAGTCGAATTTATCCGAATTTTTAAACGGTTCTCCTAATGATATTTTGGATCTCGCAACTAATCTTAATGAAACCACAGATTCTCTGACTGGTGTTACACTATCGTCCCCAACCTCCGATCCGTCCTCAGCAACTTCGTCTTCAACGACACCATCAACATCAACCACACCTTCCATGTCAACTTCATCATCATCATATTCAAATAATTTAAGCGACACATCATCAAAGGCTTGCCATTCAATCAATCCAGAACCAATTCGTAGACCTGAAATTGTCGAATTAGCTCCTGGACTGTTAGATGTTTCGCCGAAAAAAATTTCTCCGTTCCAACGAGCTCGAGCAATGCCAGCATACCGTTCTTTGCGACTTGACAGCAAAAGACAAGTAAATCTCACTATCAAATGATAGTTTTTAAACATGAAAAACTTACTTTCTACTTTTTTCCATCTCTTATTTAGACCAATCCTGATCGCCGAGAACAATTACATGAAAGAGCAAGACAATTGATTGAGGAAACAAGGCAGAAAAAACTAGCAAATAAAGAAGCTCAGGACGCAGCTACAGACGAAGAACGTAGACGCCAGTTGAGAGAAAAGGCTAAAAAATTGTTGTCCGATCAAATCAGTAAAATGATTAAAGAGAAAAGTCCTATTGAACCTCGAAACATGGAGGAAGCTATTCGTGATCTTACCTTGAATGAATCTAAAAAAACTTTAACCTCTACATTCCGGCAAAATAAAAAGATGCCCTCCAAATTTCAATCTAATAATGAATCAAGTAAGAGCAACTAAACCAACAATTGACCCTTTACATTTTTAAACAATTGACCTTTTTCGTTTTTTTTCAGATAATCCTAAAAGTCCAAACAAATCCTATGTCGATATGGAACTAATGATATTAGAAAAGGAACAGTCAAAAATTAATAAAGAGGCAGCAATTATCGAAGAAAAACTGAGGCTAATAATGAAAAATGGTAAGTTACTGTCAAACCAATTCCATAAGTGTTGAGCGCAATCAAATGCAATTAGGTGAAAGCAAAACAAGATTAAAAACAGTTTTATCATATTATCGGCACATTGGTGGACATTAATTAGGAGGCTGTTTTGAGGAGGAAAATTAATATTATTATTTATCATCATCAATGACTTCTTCTAACCATCAATATTAATAAGTAACCTAACCTTTTATGGTTCTTCATTTGTATTGTCTCTTTGAAGCCCTTCACTGAAGACATTGAAGAGTCACAAGAAAATCAACAAAATTCACTTCTTTTACCTTTTCCTCGTTCTCATCCTCATTGAAACCATTTAGATAGGTAAATAATACATTCACAGTTGACTATTATTATCCAACAGGGTTGGGTTTTTTTTGGTTTGTTACAAGACAAAACTTGGACCTAACTTTAAAGTCAATTTCAATTGTAGTTGAGTTTCCGCAAAGTGAAGCAAAATGAAAGCTTACCTATGGATTCATTCAGAGACAGATCATTTGTTGGGCTTCAAAAGCACTGTATCATATTCAGAGTCCCAACTAATTACCTAACATACATTTTTTTCCTTCAAATTTATCCTTTTCCAACCTTCAACCATCAATATTCAATTTAAAGTCAATACAACATCTAAACGTAACAATTTATCTTTTCACTTTCAATCAACTTGCCAAAACAATCTCAACCTTTTATCCATACCAATAGATGGAACCTTTGTCTTGGTAAATCTTTTTCCCATTGAAAGTTGATTGTAAATTTGCTATTAAACCAGAACGAGTTTCAAAGTAAATCAAATGATTTTCACTGACCAATAGACTTTTTAACAACACCAGAACCCAAAAATTTAACCTTATGCTCAAACAAATTACCAATTGTTTGGTTAATGATTAGCCATTAAATGATTGAAACAATTACATTTGATTATTGGGAATTTGCATTTGAGTTAATAATTGATGAAAAGTCGTCGACTCAGACTTTGGGTAGACATGATTTGTATCATTTAGTGCATTAACATTGATGCGATTTAATTTAATCTCAAGATTAAACCTAAAAAGGAGAAAGATAAACACGAGGAGAAAAAGAAAGGAAAAACTAAGAGAAGATGAAAAGATGAGAAGCAACATTGATGAGAATGAATCAGATAAAGAAACTTGTTGTTCACCCTTGGGTGTAAATCTCATGTATATATTTTTACCTAATATCAATAACAATGATAATAATGATAATGATGATACTCATTGATACCAAATAGCGCAAAATGTTTCAAACTGTTCCTACTGTTCAACATTATCATGACAACAGTTGCAACAACAAAACTGTATTACAAGAGAGTTTATCATTTTTGTACATTCCAACATGATCAATATCAATGTTACATTGTGAAGATGATGAAGACAAGAATGAACAACCAAAAAAAAAGTAAAGATTAAAAGGTCAGATAGAGTCTGACAAGAGATGGATCCTGACGATGATGAGCATGAAAATGTACAAGTAACACTATATCTGACCATTTTATAAAGCGTAATGTTAACTACTATGTGTATGTTTGATGGTTTTAAGGCTCATAAAAATTAAGACTTAAATTGGTCTCATTTATCTATTGATGTTGACTTCACTCTTACCTTTTTTTCATGATTCTTAATACCAATGACATCCAATAATTGAAGTCATAAAAAGCATCATCTCATCATTATTATCATGTAAAGGGAATGGAGAGATGAAAATGGTTGAAGCAAAAAAGTTGATATAAAACAACAAGAAAAGTCAAACACTTTTCCAACTAATGGATCTGGTAAAAATGCAAATAACACCAATAATAATGATGTTAATAATGATAATAATAACAAGACTGATGAATAATAATGAAAATAATAATTATTGTTGTAGAGCTAACAATACAAGTAAAAGGTAAAAAAAAGGTAAACCATGTATTTAATGTAAAAGCATACCAACTAATCATCATTATACAATGAGCTAAAATAACTATAATAAAGTAATAACACCTTAAAATTGATTACTTTTTGCTCGCTCTTCATCTACCTTTACATCTTGAATAATATTATCTGGTCAATGAAGGTAATTTGTACAATTTAACTGCCCTTTCATTACACACTTTGAGTTTGTCCTGAAAGTGCTGGATAGAGAAACACAATAATAACACCAAAAAATCACCGCAACTAACATCTAAGAATACAATCAATTTTTCTTCTCCTTAACTTGTTTGCTTTCACCAATTTAGCTCAACAAATTGTGTATTCATTTAACTATCATTTACTAATCTATCAAACTAATTCAATTTTACAATTTACGCTCTTCTTTCATCTTTTTTTTTATTTTCGTCCATTAGGAGGTAACAGTGCACTGGAAGAGGAACGATGCATTCGTAAATGGTTTATCCTGGTTAATAAAAAGAATGAAATTCTTCGTCGTCAGATGAAACTCAATATTCTGTAAGTTACATTATTGCAATTTGTTTTTGTGATGCAATGTTCAAATCTATTTACAACTTGAAACTTGATTGAACACCTGAAACAATTGATTTTCAGGCTTGAAATTGATTTTATTATTTAACTGTTCAAGGGTTCACTTGATGAACATTATCGGGTTATTTTGCATTTTTATAGAATCGATGGAAACTCTTTGATCAATGATGAATGTTCAATTCTGAAGATTTTTTTCTTTAATTTTTTTTCGATTTTTTGTTCTTTTTTGAAGAATAAGAATTGGAATTCTTGACGATTGTTTGATACTTGGATTGTTCATTGAAACTTATACTGACATCATTCTAATTGAGTTAATTTGAAACTAATCTATTGATTAGATTCAAGTGTAATTTGATTTTTTGCCTCATTTTTATTATAAAAGTGGATTCTTTTTTTGTTTATAATCTAATCATGTTATCAAATAATTTACAGTTGATTGAAATCTCATCTTATCTGTAAATGCTCTAAACTTGTGTTACCTTTACATTTGCTTGTTATCATGGTAAATGCTGCAAGAAGAAAAAGTAAAAATAAAAGCGATCATGTCAAATGATGTGATTGTTATTAAAGAGGGAAAAAAGATGAAGAGAAAGATGATGGTTGAAAGATTTTGTTTGTGAGTTATAATTGATCGGTTTGTGATGATGATAATGATTCCTGATGAGTTTATCCGTCCAACAGAATCAAATGAAAGTTGAATGGGCTGATGAGGTGAAGTCGAAGGACGCGAGACCAAAAAAAATTCAACATTATCCTAATATTTTTCAGATCTCACGCAGAGTTTCAGATGAAAATTACTGATAATCACAGTAAAAAAGAAGAAGAAGAAGAAAGAAGAAGAAAAAGTGGATGATGAGTCCAACAATTTGAAAGAAGTAAAATATTCCTCTTCAACTGATAACCATCGTCAATATTAGTTTCAACCTCATGATTAACTAATTTTCATTTGAAATCAAGAGCCAAATGTAAACTCATTTTTTTCATTGCAATTTCACTCAACACTATCTTCAAGTCCAACAAAAACTAGTGTTCACTTAATCTGACCACACTTATGGACACTATCAGATTATATGCACCATCAAGTCAACAAATTGGCCCGACTTTGCACTCAATAAATAGTCAAGATTCATAAATTCAGAGAATCCGCTAATCCAACAAAATTGGTCAACTTTAAGTTCACAAGTTTAAAGCTGAAACTGAAAGCAATTGTTTAGATCAGTGACAAGTTAAATCGATTGCATCGTTAGATAGCATCTCTTAATCAATGCCAATTAACAGCAATTTAATAAAATCTTTTGTGAAATCTTTTTCGTTTGAAAAGCGAATCGTTAAGAACTGAAAATTGCATTTTTACCTGTTAGACTTGCATATTGAAACTATATTTTTTGGTCTCTTTTTCAAAATCGATTAAAGATTGACAGAAATTGCATATTTTTGTGAGATTTGAGTTCATCTGACCAAGCAATTTGAACTCGAATGCAAACCTTAAAGATTCAACGATTTTTTTTCGCAATTTTTCCAATTTTTCGGTTTTATCTTTTGATGCTATTTTGGGTTTGATTTAAGTATTGGATCGAAGTGAAAAGATTGAAATGAGCATTTATCATACTTGTAATGATGCTATAGAATTGCATTGAAATGCATATTTTTGTCCAATTGTTTTTGATTATTCAATGTGGACTCGAGTTTCATTGTTGATTATGAATGTATGAAGAATATAAAAAAACTCAATATTCACCATTATTCCAGTTGTGTATTATGATCCATTGAGGGTCATGATCCTTTACCTTATAGCTTTTCATGCAGACATTCATATTATATTTATGAAAAGACTTTAATATCAACTTGAAATTTAAATGTATAACAATGGAAATGAAAGAGATAGACTTATAATACATAATAGGTTAACAAGAGGCGTGAGGTAAGACATAAATTGGAATTGACAAGAAAAATGAAGAAGAAGAAGAAAAGAGAAGAAAAGAGGAAAAAAAGTTAAAAAGAAAGTGAATAGACCATTTTGATGATCACAATCATCATCCATCGTCACCATCATCATACATTACACCGTCGTTGTTGGTCGCTGTCATGAGCAACATTTGCAAGAAGAAGGCAAAAAAACTTGAATCTAAAAGTCGAAAGGAAGGCAAAAAAAAAATGTGAACAAATGACAAGAATAGAAATATTGGCTTAAATGTTTACATTGCAGGTTAGAAAAGGCTTCTTTCAATAATTCATTGTATACTTTTGTCTTGGTCAGTCTCAAGGTGGACATTCCTGGTGAACATTGACACTGATATTAGGGTCAAACCAAAATAAACATTTCGCACCTCATTCCTTCACCTTGACCCCACTCTCTCTATCCATATTGATGACCATAAAAATTGATTTTGATATTCATTCCAACATTAGTCTTGTCCAATAATTACAATAATAATACGAGAATAATGTTAATCACTAGTTATCATTGAGAGGCCAAATGTATCAAAAGAAGTAAATTTAAAACATTTTACTCTTTTCATTTTTTGCTCAACTTTTATTTCGGTGAAAATGAAAACGTAGCCCGGGCTGTGTAAACATTTGAACCAAATAAAAATGGCTTAAGAGAGTTGTATATTGATATTTATATTGTAAGAAGTATTTACATGATGTAAGCTTAAGGTTGAACCTAAAAAAAGAGGAACCATCAAAAATAATAATCGGCCTTAGATTCGCTCATTAAATTTACAATGGACTTTCTCTCTTGGTCGTCTCTTGCTTTCTTGGTCAATGTTTACTTTCTCGCTTTCTCAATGGTCTTCTCTATTTAAATTTGGGTCATCGTCTTATTTCGTGTTATATTGACTGGACAACATTTTTCTTCATCCCTTTACACAATAGGTAAATGAGCAAAAAGAAAAGAAAGTTGAACAAAAATTGAAATTCATCAACTTCTCTCATCATTATACCTTTGTTGTTATGCAGTTATGTTCAACTATTCAATATGCATATTGACTCGACTCTATTTTTTGTGTCCTCATGTTTGCTTGAAATTTTTCACGTTTACTTCAATTCGTTGCATCGAGCAATCAAAACCATTTAGCCACCATTAACCATGATTCAGTAGCATCTAGTTTCTTTCAAACTCCCTACTGCTTTTGTTTTCATCCTCGCTCTTCTCATCTTTAGAAAGATACAATTTCCAATTGGAATGTTGAAGTTGCTCTTTTTTTCATTTATCTTCTTCTTCAGTTTCTTTTGCTTCTGACTTTTTGTGGGAATTGAAGAGGGTGACTTATAGAGTATTTGTGTGAAATAAATACGTTTTTTCAGTCATCATTATTTATCATGAATGTCGCTGAAATATTGTCCTGCTATTAACGAACAATCATCAATTACATTCTCACCGGTGGATGAGAAAGAGAGTGATGAGTGAAGAAAAGGTCACCCACCGGTTAGCCTATCTTGATCATCTTTCTTTCATCTTGTGGTTCAACAATTAATTTTTTTCCTTCTCCAGTATCAATTTACTTTGCAATATTTTCAATATGACAATTCATTTTATCTCTTTCATCAAAATGTAAAAAAGCAACAAACATTTACATTTACATCCAGATGCCGTTATTAGCATTTGATTGACTGTCAGTTTGGTTTACAAATTTTGATTGTTTTCAATGCGTTATTATTTTAACATTGAAATTGATGAGTTTAAAGTGAGACAAGATTCACAATGATTATGTGATTTAATGACTAAAATTGATTTGATCCTAATAAACATTTCATTTATTTTACCAACATTAACTTGTAAGTCAACACAAACTCAAAGGTTAAAACTCACTGATTTGCTTGACTCAAGGCACAATCCGATTAATATTATAACAAAGAAACTTTTTAAATCCTAAAACAGCTGTAGCTCTAACAAGGCCATTTACTAGATTAACTAGAATCAATCCAACGAAGCGCATAACGTCTGGATAAAGGCTCATTAGCACCTTTTCAATTTTCAGCACAAAAACTCAACTCAAATATTTACAGTTACTCAAAACATCCAAACCAACTCAAACTTTTTCATCATAACAAGTTTCCCTTTACGAGTTTACCCAAACCAAAATTACTAAAAATCAAAATCACCATGAAACTGGAACTAAACCTAAGTACAGTGTTAATGATGGAATTGAACAAATATCATGAAAAAAAGTTCCATAAAATAAAGCTAAGCATTTTCAATGCATTTCCTATGGAAACCTGATTTCTCAATTTTTGGACAGTTTTCTAGTTATTTTGACTTCGATTGTTTGAATCAAATAAGTTTACAGAAAATGGAAATTCTGTAACTAAAAATCGTGAAATTCTGATCGTGAAATGGTCTTATAATTTTGTAGTTGTCAAGCAATTGGCAAATGTGCAATTCAATGTTCTTCCCCGATAAAGTTTACAAAAGTTTTGGTGATTTCAAAGCGACAATGAATTTCTCTTGAATGTCAAAACTATCAAAGTCTTTACCTGACCAACTTGATCGAATCTTGACTTTGATATGAAACTAAACGTCAACGATTAACTTACAAATGATTGAAAACAGTGTTTCCATTTATTAATTTACCTTGAGTTTGATATTTTAAGCTGAAACATTCCTGCAAGCCTTCAATTGTTCACAATTTGCAGTTTCACAGTTAACCAAATCTCGTGATTTAAACATCATGATTTACCTTTGAGTACATTTGATACGTTTATATATTGAAATAATAGGCTGATCCAACTTGCTGTTGGTGGCCGAGTAAAAAAGTGTAATATTAAATTACATTGTTATCAAATTAAGTGAATGTATATTGTTAGTGAAGTGGAATGGTGATAATGATAATAATTTATATGTCATACACAAGCTGCATGGTGGCCAATGATGATAATAATTAAGTTGATTCTTGAAGGGAAAAAGACTTCTAATGTTGTCTCCCGTTGAGCATTTCAATGGATGTAAAATGAAGTGAAAAAAG